ATAAAAATGGTCGCTGGATGTAATTTTACAAAGAAAACCTTGAATAGACGAGGTTAAATGGTGTGTGTGGCAACAGCCTGATGAGATGTACCTCTCACACTCACCCACTGACTCACTCCCTCATCTGAGCATCAGCGTGCGGTGGCCCAAGTCCAGGCCCCTCCTATGGGCTTGGGGCAGCCGCCTGTCAGCTGCAGGGGTTGGGACACCATGACTGTCCTGCAGAAGGTCCTCAGGCACCAACACACACTGGGCTCCCAAATGAGATATGTTATCAGGGGGCCCCCAATACTGTTGCTTAACTATCTGACAGCTGGCAGACTGGCTCCCTGGAACCTCCAGTCATCCTAACAGAGTGCCCAATGGAAGTGCCAAGCAAGTAGGGGGCAGAGTCCACATCCCCAGACCCACCCCTGGGCAAAAGCCCTCAGGCAGACCTGGGCAGGGAGCCCGGGGCATCTGCTCTGGGCACAGGAGGTAGCTTGCTGGTGAGGGTCTCTGTGCGCCCCTGAAAGGGTCCCTGAAAGGGAAGCTGGGAAGCCCTGAGCCAGCGGGCCCCTCCCCTGAATCCAGGGCTCCTGGGGCCTCCAGGAAGCCATGCTCTGTTTAGCCCACGTTTATTAAGTGCTTACTGCATGCTGGGTAAAGGGCACGGTGACAATTGTTGAGGTTGCCCCTCCCACAGAGGAGGGACATGCTGGTAGGTGGCGTAACTAGAACCCTAAGTGGGAAGTGAGGGGCTCAGAAAGAGCACCGCTAATGGAGGGTGGCTTGGGACCCCATGAGCTGGAACTGCACCTGGCACGGGGCAGCACTGGCATTAACCAGGTCGGCGACAAGCTGCTGTGGCCACTGCCCCACCGCTGACCTGTCTTTCTGGTTTTTCTCTGTGCTTCCCAGAAGGTAACTTCCTGTCTGGGTCTCAGAATTCCTCTGCCTCCTTACCCAGAACCAGGGGAATACCCGCCCAGGCCTGGGCATTCCCTGAACTGAGTAGGCACCCTGCCCGCCCCCGCGGCTAGGGCGGTGGAGGGGACCGTGGGGGCCCAGGCCCCGCCACCTGCAGATCGCCACCAGGGGGCAGCAAACCTCAGGCCGTGCGTGTTCTCTCTCAGCACTTCTGTGGTCCGCACACCATCAGGGAGGGGGTGGGGCGTGGTTTTGGGGCCCCACTCCCTTTACGATTGCCCCCCTCCCGCCCCAGGCAAATGCAGGGTGCTCCCTGCCTGGTTCTGGTTCAGCAAGGCACACTGCTGGGCCCAAGACCGAGTGACCTCTCAGTCAGCTGCTCCATTGGGAGATGCCCTTCCCCCCTCAACCCCCCACCCCCAGGAAAAAAACAGGGGTGAGATTTGGGGGACCAAAAAGAGAGGCGCAGGAAGAAGCCCATCTCTGCTAGGTCCACGCTGAGCGGCCTCAGTGGGGGCAGGGAGGACGCGATGAGGTTCCGGGGCCAGATCCCACTGCTGAAGGGCGCCCGTCCATGCCTGATTCCCGCGTGTTCCTGGCACGGTCCCCGAGTCTGCAGGACCTCGGTCTACTCGTCTGTAAAAGGAGAACAACGCCATTCCATCCTCCAGGCTGTTGGAAAAGTGACTTGAGGACACAGGACACTGCCTGGCCCGCAGGGGGCTCGCCACAATGGAGGCCCCCCAGGCAGCCGGGGGAGGAAAGGCGCTATCTCTGGCTCAGAGCATCCCTGAGGGTCTCCCTTTTGTTGGGGGCCAGGCAAGTGTGCTGGGCCTTGACCATAGTTCCAGGGAAGAGGCCAGCAGGGCAGGGGTCCAGCCCAGAACGCCCTTGGCACAGTGCCCCATCCCAGGAGGCCCCGATCCCTTCCCACACCGTGGGCAGGGGCCCTGAATCTCAGAGGTGGCAGTCAGCCGTGGGGCAAGTGGCATGGGGGGCAGAGACCAAGGGAGACGCTGCAGACCAGCACTTGTATTCAGGCTCCACCCAGTCCGGCTCTGAGGCATACACGGTATGTACCCCACACATGCCCGCCACTGACAGCTATGCCTACATCCCATCGGGATGCCACTGAGGCCCCACACCTTTACCGGTGTCCACCACACGGCCATGCCCTTCAAACGCACAGCATTCTCCAGCCCAGCCCCGCTTTAACATACAGCATCCAGTCCTTCCCAGCCTGGGAGAAGCAGAGGACCCGCTTCAGGGCCTGGCTAAGATGACCAAGCAGCAGCCCCCACCCCCCTCCTTGCAGGCCTGGCCCCCCAGAGACACTGCCCCAGCTCCCTCTGCCGTGGACAACCCCGACCATTTACAGCCTCTGTAACACACAAAACCCTTGCCCCCAGGACCCCTCCTTCAGGGCGAAGACCTCGCCACAGCCAGCAGCTGACGCCCCACCTGTCTGCAGGCTGGGCTGCGCTCTTGCAGCCCTGGCACTGGGCATGAGATGAGAGGGAAACAACACCCCTATGGCAGGAGGGGCGCCGTACTTGGCCAGCCTGCAGCCCTCTCCTCTGGGTCTGAGGAGCTTGGCAAGGTCGCCACCAGAGCCACAGCCCGGGCCCTCGTGGGCAGGGGTTCGCTGCTCTGTGGCGGCAGAGCGCGTCTCTTTTGCAGGCCGCTCTTCAGCCGGGCCTGAGGCTCCATCCGCACGGGCGCAGGGAGACGAGCGGAAGGCTTCGCGGGGGGCGGCGGCCAGCCTTCCCCGAAGTCCATCCGCGGCGCTCGCGGTGCGGCCAGGGCTGCAGAAAGTGAGCGGAGCACGTGAGCCAGCTGGGGGAGCAGGGGCCACTAGGGCGCCCGAGCCCCCAGCCCGGGTGACCCCCCCACCACCACCACCACCACGCAGCCAGGCCGGCGCGGCGCTCACCGGATACATCGCCACCTCCGTCTCCCGATGCCCCTTTCCCAGCGCGCAGCCTGGCTAGCGCCGCGCGAGCTTCTGAAACAGAAGGGAGAGCAGAGAAGTGACGACAGGCATCCGCCGGACCCTTTTCGGACCGCCGCGTGCGCCCTGCGCTGTCGCTGCGCCCGACCCGGACCGATCTTTACTTGGGAGTGGTCAGGGGGCTGAGCCTGGGACCCTGCCCGGCGCTCGAGCCGGGAGCGAGCGGCGCGGGAGGGTGGCCGGAAAGCCGTGGCAGCGGCCGGGTGCTGGCGGCGCCTTTATGCAGTGCAGGGCGGTGGGGCCGCGGGCGCGCGCGCTTTCCCACGCTCCGCAACCAATCTGCTGCCGGGGCTGGACAAAGCGCAGGCCCCTGAACCCGCTGGGCTGGGATAATGACGTGCTCCGCCCCCCAGCAGGTGGGGTGTGGGTGGGGCGACGGGGGACACGTGGGGCGTCAGCTGGGACGTGCCCTGACTCTGAGTTCTGCCCTCAAACCCACACTGAGCCCCCAGTGGTCCAGACGCCTGTCCGGGAGGCAGAGGCCAGAGGAAGTGGCCATTCCTGACGGCTGAGCGTGCAGGGCAGCTCCTTCCCTGACCCCCACCTTCCTGTCCTCCAGGCAAAGGACAAGCGTCTCCACGGGCCACCCTCTGGTCTCTTGCTTGTTCTCCCAAGCCACGTTGGGTCCCTTGTCTGGGCCTCTCCAACTCCTCACACCTAACCTGGAGCTCTCCTAGCGAGGGGAGGGGCGGCTGCTGAGCCATAGTCACTGGGGGACAAAAGTGGCTGCAGGGTGAGCCCAGGATGTGGAAGCCACATGGAGATGCAACATCAGGGAAGGGGTACTTCCCCCCAGGGCTGCACAGAGGGGTCAGTGCCCTTAGACTGGGCCAGGGCTGCTGCCCCTGGAAACCCCCACTCTCCTCCTTGCTTTCTGAAAGGCCACGCTTCAGCTGCCACCTCCTCCAGGAAGCCCTCTGGCCTCCTCCTCCCTCCTCCAGGCTGATTCTTGCATTATATGGTCATCATCAGAGGTGCTCTGGGCAGTTAATTCCTGGGGGCAGGGCCCTGCCCACCCCCAAGCTCCCCCAGGGCCTGGTATTTTGAGATAGCTGGACTTAAGAACTCTGCCACCACAGCCCAGGGAAGAGGCAGTGCTGTCCTGCATCTCAGAGGAGGAAGCTGAGGTCCGAGGAAAAGGTCTTGCCAGCCCTCTGCCCCACCATGTTCCCCTCTTGTCACCTGCATTATGTGGTAAGATGGGCGGGGGGGGGGCATGGAAGTGAATGGGGGTTGAGCACTGTACAGGCCAGGCTTGGGAGCAAGAAAGCATGTCTGCCAGGGCGAAGCCAGGCCAGGGCACGTGGCCGGGAGGAGGGGAGATGGGCCAGCCCAATGATGGCAACAGAGGGAGTGGGAACTGTCTCCCCAGAGACTCCTCTCTCGACTGCCCAAGAACTGTGCCAGCCTCGGCCCAACGGGGAGGGCAGATGACTGGCGGGGGCAACTGTAAAGACTGCTCCCTAGTGCCCAGCCCCGGGGGCCTCCTGGGCCATCAGTGGTCAGTGGGCAGAAGCCGCCCCTGTGGACGCAGGCCTAGCTTGGGGGTGGCCAGGTAGAATGTGCCGTGCCTCTGCTCCCCCGCCCACCTCCAGGCCCTGAATGGCTGGGAGCCTTTTGTGGGTGAGCAGCTGGCGGTCGCCCTTTATGTGGGGCTGTGGGAAAGTCCCCGGGCCAGCCTCTCACAGCCTCTCAAAAGCCGGGATTATCTCGGGCCGGCAGGACACCCTCTCAAGGACATCCCCCCTCCAGCAGGGGTTGGGGCAAAGGGGCCTCCACAGAGGTCCTGCCTGCCAAGCCCTGGCCCCACAAGTCCCTTGGCCAGAAAAGGTCCCCTGAGTGGAGAGACCCTCAGACACCCAGCTCCCTGCCCCCAGCTGCCCAGACTCAGAACTATCCCCCATGCCAGGCAGGGTTTTGGGGGAACCCCCACCCACCTCACCCCTCTAGGTACCCCTCCTGATTGTCCAGGCCCCTGGCCCTCTGAGGAAGAGCTTGCCTGGGGCTGACAGCCCCCTCCCCTGTCTCACTCATGGGGCTGCGCCCATGGCTGAGCTGACTTGGTCAGGTCCAGAGCGGAGGTCAGACTTGGGGGCGCTCAGGGGGCCTGGATAGGGAGGGTGGACAGGGAACTGAGAGGTTATTTAGCACCTGCTGCATACAGGCTAAGCAGGACCTTCCCCCCTGGACCTGCTCAGAATCCTGAGCTGGAGGATTCTGTGCCTGCGCCACCGAGCAGGGCACAGACCCATGCCTAGTTGCCTGATGAGGTCACACAGTCCCTGGTACAGTTTGGCTCCAGAACCCCGCTTTCTCTGCTCTATTGGCCAGCTCTCAGGTGGCCCAGAACTCAGGCAGAGTCACCCACCCAGGAAACTGAATGAAGTGGGGTGAGCGGAGCCAAAGGCCTGGCAGAGCCTGGAGCTGGGGACTCCAAATGACTGATGTTAGTGCCAGCAGCCGAGTGCTGAGGTGGCCTGGATGCTGTGCCTTTATTCACTCCTTTCGTCCTCAGCACATGCTGGCGGTGGCTGATATTAGCCCCATTTTACAGATGAAGAAACTGAGGTTCAGAGAACCCAGCCACTAAGTGGCGGTGTCCGGATTCAAGCCCTGTGCTCATAGCCCTCCCTGGGAGGCCAGGCTGCCTCCAGAGGTCCTCGGGTGGGAACACCCAGGGGTTGTAATCCAAAGCGGGGGGTCGGGGAGGCTGGCATCCCCCTTTGTCCCCTTGTCAGGGCCAGGGCTTGCCGGGGACACCAGGAGGCTGTGGGAACGGGAAGGCGCTGGCGAGGCCAGATGTGCGGCCTTCCAGCGTTGCTGGGAAGCTGCTGCAGTTTCCCCAACCTTCAAAGGCAGCCCAGGGAGCCCCGCCCCGCTGGGACGGCTGCTCCCCAGATGGCCTCTGGGCCCGCAGCTCAGCACACAAAGCCAGGCAGCCATGTGAATGAGTTTGTCGCTGGGCACGAGCCTTTTGTGCTGTATGAATGTCCATGGCAGGGGTGGGGGGGTGTGTGGGAAGCCACCCGGAGTGGCCTCCCGCCCAAATTTCCCTCTGGGCTGGATGGGGGGCAGGGCTTGAAAGCCAAGGCCGCTGCCTGGGAAGAACCCCACAGCCTCTGTGCCTGCACCCCTGGGCCTTCCCATGTGGCATGAGACTGACAGGGTCCATGAGTCCAGGGAGACCACCGAGGCTCCGTCCCCCCATGTTACACACGGAAACAGTGGCAAGAAGGGGCTGTCCTCACTGACCCATAATTGTGGGCTCCAGGGAGGGTGGGGGCTGCCCCATGGGGCCCAGAGCCCAATAGGCAGGTGATTGCCCACCAGACACACCTGGCCGAGGCCAGGAACCGTCTCCGTCCTGGGAGGTGGGGGCAAGAGGCTAAAGAGGAGGTCACTGTCAGACTTGGGAGGCAGTGAGGGTAGGAAGGGCAAGATTCCGGAGCCCAGCACCCTCACCCGTCTCCTCCCCACACCCCGCCCGAGACCAGGCTCTGGGCACTCCACCTGGCACGCGGCAGCCACTTAAAGTGGATAGTTGGTGTCTGGCTGAGGACGGGCAGCCTTGGCCTTGCTTGTTCCCATAAGCTGGTGCCTGGCCAAGGTCCCAGGACTGGCGGGGCTCCCCTCGCCTTCATCTGTGAACTGGGTGCCATGTCCCCTGCACGGCTTGCTGAGCGGGTCTGAGGAGACTCCAGGCCGGGTGGCTGTGGGGAGCATCAGGTGCACCCAGGGCTGTGGGCAGGGGTGCTGAGCCTCACTGAGGGGCCCCCACGCTGGACTGGAAGCCCTAGACCCCTGACAGCTGGCCCCGACTAGGGAGGAGGGGGCCTCAGAGTGTGCCCAAAGGGAATGTTGATGAAGTTCCTTGTGGGAGGAGCTAAGGGGTCCAAGAATCGGAGGAGTGACCACGGATGGTGCGGAGCTGAGCCCCACACATATGATCCCATGGGCCCCCACTGTGCCTCGGCGGGGGTGGGTCTCGGCGGTGTGGTGCTCCCAGAACTGGCTTCTTCACGGCTTTCAGCCATCACAGGATATGGGGGAGTCCAATGAGGCCAGGATGGGGGGGTCATAACTGGGGGGGACTCAGACACTCTGTAACAGTACCATGGAGCAAACCCAGCGCCCAGAGCTACCGGACCATTGATCCCCAGGGGACGATGTGCCCTCTCCTCCTCCCACATTAGTGTGTAAATTAGTTGCACCCTCAAGCCCCCTGCTCATGGGCTGCTACTCTCCTTATGTCCCGCCCTTCAAGAAAGCGGGGGGCCGGGCGAGTGGCTCAGTTGGTTAAGAGCTCGCTCAATCGCTCAAGAGTACCAGCTCTGAGCAACAGCGGTTCAATTCCCAGCCCGAGCTGAGCTGCAGCTGAGTGCCAATAGGTGGCAGGATGGCTCAGCTAAAAAAAAAAAAAAGAAAGAAAGCAGGGTGCCCCCATCCCCATGCAAGTTTGGGGAGTTGCCAGAGCCCCGACATTGTGGCAGGGGAGCTCCTTAAAGATCAGTCAGCCCAACTCCTCGACAATCAGATGGGAAACTGAGGCTGGGAAGGCCTGGGGGTCTGCAGCAGCCTGGAAGTCAGGTAAAAAAGGGGAGGGACCAGCCAGTCCAGGGTCCTCCAGAAGCAAGTGGGGCAGGTTGTGCAGAAGTGCACTTAGCTGGGGAGGGGACCTGGGGTGCTTTTAGGACAAAATAGGTCTATCCCAGATGCAGAACAGCAACTTGCTCGGACAGCATGGCCCCCAGTGGGTGTGAAGAGACAGGGCGCCTCAGACCCCGGAAGAAACACAGGTGGCTGACATGGGAGCTGAGTGGCCACCCCGGTTTTTCCTGGGGGGAGGGGAGCTGCCCAGAGTGCCGCCTGGGCTCAGTCCCAGCTGGCAGCTTGGCCTTGGGTCCAGACACGCCTCCGTTTGCTCACCTGTGCAATAGATGTGTGAATGCTCAGCCTGGGCCAGGCTGCCTGTCCTGAGCGGGGCTCCCACAGCAGCCCCCAAGACGAGAAGGGTGAGTGGGAAAGCCCCCGAGGTGGTGATAAGGACAGCGACTAGCATAACTAACAGCGTGACTGTTCCCTGTGGGTGCCAGTGCCAGGTGACCGGCGGGGCAAACGCTTTCTGCAAAGAGCTGGACAGTGAGCGGTTTAGAACCTTAGGCTGTCTGTCTGTCCCACGTGCTCAGCTCTGCCCTCCAGCAGCAAAGCAGCCCTGTAGCCCTCCACACAGTGAAGGAATGCGCCCAGCCGTGTTCCTACCACGTTTCATTTATGGATGCTAAAGTGTGAATTTCATCTCATTTGTACCAGTCACAAAATATTTTCCTTCTTTGGATATTTGTTTCAACCCTTTGAAAATGTAAAAATCATTCTTGGGAAGGCCCAAAGGCAGGCCTGATGCTCAGCCCTGTTCTAAGCACGTTACATGAATGTCTTTGATCCCCCAAGCCGAGTAGGGGGGCTCTAGGGGAGTAGGGGGGCTCTAGCATTGTCCCCCGTTCACAGGCAAGGAGACTGAGGCACAGATAGGGCTAAGCGTCCTGCCTTAGGTCGCCCAGTGGGAAGACTCCGGGGGGGGGGTCCGTTGGGAGGCCTCCGCTCTGCCCCCCCACTCCCCAGGCTCTAACCCTCGGACCTCGCCCCAGAGGCGGGGGCTGTGGGTTCCTGCAGGCCGGCGTTTCCCACGCTGGGCGGCTACGGAGGAAGCGTGCCTGGGCCCCGCAGCATTAGTGCCGGGGTCTGCTTCTGAATGCATGAGGGCGGCCGCGGGGGGCGAGGGGGGGCAGCTCCCAAAAGACCATCTGGCTCTGCGTTATAATAGAGCGATAAAGGGCTTGTCTGCCCTCAGGGGTTGGGAAGAGCTGCTCTCTGACACCGCGGGGGTTTTAACCAGCTCAGGACCCCGACCTGGCCCTGCCCCCGGCCGGCGCGGGGGGGGGGGTGCGGCCACGTGGGCGGCTGAGGCCCCTGATGGGGGGTCGCGGTGAGACCCTCGGGCCCTGCGCTTTCCCACCGCCCACCTCTGCGCTTCCCAGTGGCCACAGGGGAAACTGAGGCCCCTGCACTGAGGCTGCGCCAGCCTGGAGTCTTTGACCTCCTGCTCGGAGGTCAGGAACGCAGCACACTTGGGAACGTGGGGCCTGGTGTGCTCTGCAAAAATAGAAGTTCTGGTGGAGGGCTGGAGCCCCTCAGACTGTCAGACACCCTGCCCCCCCCCCCACAGTCAGGTCCCAGGGTGGAGCCTCACTTTGGTCAGATGAGAGAAGGGTCCCCGCACAGCCCTGCACCCCAGGTCCCTGTGAGTAAGTCCAGGCTGGAATCCAGAGGGGGGCAGCTGTCTCAGGGCAGCTTCCGGGGAAGGTCCGGGACCCCTGAATCACAGAACCTCATGGAGTCAGCAGGTGTGTGACCTGACTCCAGTGTTCCATTTCTGAAGCCCACCCCGCCAAACCCCAGCACGGTCCTGCAAATGGACATCTGCAGCCCCAGCCTAGCCCCACCTGGGGGGCGCTCACACACAACCCGTCCTGAGCATCCCTTCCCTGCTCAGCGCCCCCCCCCCGCGACTCCCCATTGCAGAAGGAGAGGTTGGTGTGTGGACAGGGTGTGTGGGGCGACCCTGTCCCTGACTCGGTGGTCCTGACGCAGAGCACTGGCCATATTTCAGATCAGAATCACAGGCAGCCCCAGGCAGTCAGCCCCAGCAACGGGGTTCGTTCTGCGGGAGGGCCAAGAGGGCCAGGTGGGCTGAGTACCACTCTCTTCTCAGCAACATCCCAGCCCCCCACCCCTCAGTCACCTCCAGCAACTTGGAGCCAGTCCCTCCATGAGGTGGCCTTGGCAGAGGAGTCCATCTTATACAGGTAAACTGAGGCCCAGAAAGGACCAACATGTGTTTAATAGAAAGCCAAGGGCAGAGCCCAGGCTCCTGGACAGCCCCCTGCACAGACCCCCCCCCAAGAACCTGCTGCTGAGACTCCCCACGATGAACTTGCAGTGTCTGTCGACGCCGGGCAGGGCAGGGCGAGCCCCAGGGACTGTGAGAGCCAGCTGCAAAGTCTGACTCCATGTCACCCAGCCCAGCACAGCAAGGCGCCGCTGTGTGCATGTTCTGTGGCCCTCAGTGGAGTTCCTAGAAATTAGGAACAGGTCCGGAAGTCACCCCGCCTAGGATGGGGAAAGGCAGCCCCAGGGAGGCGGTCTCAGCAGATCCCAAGGGTCCCAGCTGGAAGAGCTCAGAGCTTGGGGAGCTGCTTCAAGCCAGGAGCTAAGAGGGTAACCCCCAGGAGCAGGCCTGGGCAGGGAGGGGACCTGGGGCCTTAGGGCACCGGAGGAGAAACCGAGGCAGGAGCTAATGAAGTGGGTACAGAGGAGGAGCATGCTGGAGGCAAAGCTGCCCCACCCCAGCCCTGCCAATGTCAGGCGGGCACTCTGGCCAACATGTTGGCCTGTCTTCAACATAACTGCATGGTGGGCCCAATCTACACCCCAAAGTTCTCTCCTACATGTAACAGTCTCCCCAGCCCCAATGTCAGCCCTTCTCTAGCCCCCTGTGCACCCCCCCCCCAGGTCAGGGGCCAGGCCTCAGTCCCCTCTCAGTCCAGGTGTCTGCTGCCCCAGGACAGCGTCATAGTGGAGAGCGGGGGAGGATCAAGAGCCCCCGTTCTGGTGGTGGTGGGGTACAGGGGGGGCTGGAGAGTGGAGGCCAGGGTTTCCTCCCTGCCTCGAGGTGGGTCACCCCCCAGCTCTCCCACCAGAGTGGGGCTGCGCAGCCGGTGGTTCCCACACTCTGCACTCAGCCTTCGCAGCGACAAAGGCAGCACGTGCCTCTCAGGCTGTCTTGGAGCCGCTGCACCCTTTGTCCGTTGTCGCGGGCCACCAGCCATCTGCAGGGCAGCTCTGTCCATCGATCACTGTGCCTGCTCCCTGCACACCGCCGGGGTTCTCGCCCGCAGGGGAGAGGCACGTCATCCCCTCCTCAGGTGCTCCTGGCCCTCCCGGGAACCCAGCCCCACCCTGCACCCCGCTCTCATGAGTGCCCTGGACGCCCAGCCCCAGCTCGGTGGCACCTCTTCCCCTCCCATCAACCCACCTCCCTCTGGCTGCTCAGGAAAGAGAAAGGCAGGTTCTGCAAGTCCAAGTCCCAGCTCCAACCTTCCCCTTCCCCTGGGCCTCCTCTCTGTGCCCTGGGTCTGTCAGGGGGCGACAGATCCTGCCGCTTTGCAGCTTCATCCTCAAGCCCACACTGGCACGCGTGGTAAAGCACTGACCCCACCTCATGCCTCAGAAATGTCATCATCATCACGGTGTCAGCAGTCCAGGACACATGACCTGGGTAAGTCATTTAACCTGTGACCCTCCGCTCCTTCATCTGTCAGGTGGGGACAGGGACAGTCCCCTCACAGGGCTGTTCTAAGAAGCGGAGCTGCTTGCTCCCTGCCTGGTGCTGAGTGGGTGCCCCCTGCCTGGTGCTGAGCGGGTGCCCCCTGCCTGGTGCTGAGTGGGTGCCCCCTGCCTGGTGCTGAGCGGGTGCTCCCACGGCACTCTTGCTCCATCCAGCTCCTGCCCAGATCCCCAAGGAGAAACCCAACCCCCTCCTAACCCCAGGCAGACTCAGCAGCCTCTGGTGCCCACTTACCCCCCCACACACCTCCCCACCCCAGCAACCAGACCACCCCTCTAGCACCCCCAGGACACCCAGGGGTCCTGGCTGGAGGGGGTGGAGACTGAATGGCACCTTAGCTCCCTGCAGTCTGGGTGCTTGCTCAGAGGCCACAGCAGGTGGGCTGGCTGGTGATGGAGGGGTGGCCTGGGGCCCCGCCGGAGCACCTGGAGGTTTGGAGGGGGCAGAGCACTGCATCTGGTGCAGAACAACTCCAGGGGTGTCCACATCTGTGCGGTGCGCAGCCTGGGGTCCATGTGGTGGCCCTGGCCATGGGGGCTTGCATGGCGGGTCATCCCTAGCCGTCCTTCCCCAGGCCAGCCTTGCTCTCCACCTTCTGCAGCCGGCCTACTCCCCACACCCCATGCTGGAAACCCTCTTGCAACCAGGAATACCCAAATGGGGGACAGCCTAGTGCTTCGGGGGACCCTGTGGAAGGCACAGCTTTGTCCAGAGAATCTTGTCCAGGCTCTAGGGTGGTTGGGGGGGGGGCAGCAGTGTGGATCTGGGCAAAGCAGGCTGGGAATGGCAATGTCCTATGCAGATAAGTCCTGCCTGCAGGGTGCTGGCAGCCCTAGTGCCAATGGCAGTTGGAGGCTGTGGTTGCCTGGGGTAGGTGAGCAGGATGGAGTGTGTGGTTCTTCTCCAAAAAGTCCTTTTTTGTGCGTGTGGTAAAATAAACATGACACAAAATTTGCCATGTTAACCATTTTTAAGTATGTAATTCAGTGGCATTAAGTACATTCACACTGTTGTGCAGCCGTCACCACCACCAGAACTTTCCATCTTCACAAGCTGAACCGCTGTCCCCATTAGACACTCACTCCCCAGCCCCGGCACCCCCATCCCACTTTCTGTCTCTGGGGGTTTGACCCCCCCAGGGGCCGCGGTAAATGGAATCGGGCGGTACTTGTCTTTCTGGGACTGGCTTATCTCAGCAGTGTCCTCAGGGTCCATCCACGTGTGGCCTGTGTCAGAATCTTCCTTCTTACCACCGAACACTCTCCCACCATGTGGATGAAGCACGGTTCGCTTGTCCGTCCGTCCGTCCATCCACCCATGGACGCCTGTGAGTGACGCTGCTGAGGGTGTGGGTGTGCACGGGCCTGTTCCAGGCCCCACTGTTGGCTCCTTTGGGGACACACTGGAGTGGGGTTGCTGGGTCCCATGGCCATTCTGTGCCCCTGTGCATCCCCACCAAGAAGTCCTCCTTTGGCACGAGGACCAAATGTGCCCCCCATGATCCCTTTGCTTTGCAGTCAGCCTGGGAAGGGTGGCGTTAGGGGTGTGAGTTATTTAGAAACGGGTTATGGCCCTGGACTCCTGAGTTCTAGCACAATGATGCCCACCGTGTGGGTTTTGCCGGGAGCCCCCACATCCGCAGCAGGGCACCTCACCTCAAATGGCTAGGGGAGCATCAACTCCAGCACCCCACCCCCACCGGCCAGCCTCTCAGGCTTACTGAGCTCTGGGGCAGAGCAAGACAAACTCCTCCTCATCCTCAGAGCCTCAGCTGGAGGAAGGGCCCCTCCCCAGCTGCTGGGGGGCGGCCAAGGCAGAGGATCCGAACCCCCACATCCCGGTGCTTCTGTGCAAAGCCCGCCAGCTTGGGGTGGGCCTTCAGCACCCCCGGCAGCCCCTCCTCTGGCTGTGTGGCCGCTCACCTCGCTGGTGTGAGCCAGGAGCCCAGCGAGTCTCCCACACATTGGCCCCATTCACAGTGTTAAACGGCCCACAAAGGCCAGGCGTGTGCCTCAGAGGCCCGAGCTGCCATCTGGCCCGAACTCGGGGAGGGAGGGAGCCTTTCACCAGCCGAGCAGGGGTTTCACACCATCCATGTCATATTTCCCACAACTGAAAATTGGATCAAAGCTGCTCCAGTCCAGGGGCAGGGAGGAGGCAGTCCCCCCACGGCCCACCCGCCACCCTCACCTCGGGCCAGCCACCCTGGCCCACTGCGGGTGGGCGGGCAGTTGAGGTGGAGTGAGGGCTGGACGTTTCCCGGCACGTGTCTCATTTGGGCCAAGAGCTGGCTTGGAGGAGAGGGCCGGGGCAGGACTGCCCAGCCAACTGCCCCTTCCGAAGGGTGGGAGGGCCCCACCTGGGTGCTGCTGCCCTCACTTCTGGGCAGAGACCTGGGGCTCCAGCTGCCAGCGGCCATGCGTTCAGGGCACACACGGGCTCGGGCCATGTCTAGTCGGTGGAGGCTGTGCTCAGGGTCATGGTGGGCATGGGGCTGCCCCTTGTCCCTCAGGCCTTGGCTAAGTACTTCCTTGATGCTGGGCCTCCGGCTGGCAGAATGTGGGCCATGGGGACACAGGCGACTAAGTCATTCTGCCCACTCCACCCCCAGCCCACCCCCAGGGAGCCCATAAATAGCTCAGGGACACTCCCAACACAAGCCCCACTTTGGCTGCAGAAATGACTCCTCTGAGCATCACCGGGTCCCTGTTACAGCCTGTAGGACCTGCCAGGCCATGTTGACGATGCCAGGCACTGTCGGTGCCCAGGGCCGTGGAGCAGAGGGGTGAGTATGAGGCCTCAGCAGCCCATCTCCCGCTCGCCCTGGTGCCTTCTGCCCTTTTGCACCAACTGAGGGCCAGATAATCCATGATAGGGTCCCGTCTGCTCAGAGAGGAGCCCCAGCTCACCATGAGGACACCTCACTCCTCACTGTCACCCGCCTCCCACAGCCAGCCTGGGGCCTATGTCCCCTTCAAGAGAGGCGTAGCTGAGGAGGGACGTGCGGGAGGGTCAGTTAGTTACCGGAGGGTGAAGGGGGGCTACCTCCCCTACCCCTCCAAAGCCACCTGAAGGTTCCTTGGGCGCCCCACCCCCCCCAGCCTAACCCATCCCAATGGGTGACCAGCTGGCCGGTGGGGCCATCCTGTGCTGGCTCCAAGCCAAGCCTGCCTTGGCTGTCCTGACACATCCTGCCTGCTTCCTGGATGGGCCCTTCACAGGATAACCAAAGGCCCCTTGTGTGTGGTGGGGGGGAGACTTCTACTCATAGCTGTGGGTCGCTGCCAAGACCCCGGGGTGAGGGGGGGGTCTGATTGGACCCTTATTAAAGGCCCTGCAGTTCCCAGCCACATGGAAGGGCTGCCATCCAGGGAACTGTGCTCCTGCATTTAAACTCTGGCTAACGTGCCCTGAGGCCAGCCGTGGCGCCCCACACGGAGGCCCTGCCTTCCCTTGGACCTGGCTGGGTCCCACCCTGCCCCTTGGAGGTAGCCCCACCCCTATTGCCTCCCTTAGCCCCTGAAGGAGCACTGAGTTCCTGGCTGCAAAGAATCAGAGGAAGGTGACTGTTCTGGGCAAAGGGGGCTCCCAGCAGGCCCTCTCCTAGGATCCCAGGGTGGGGCTGGTGGCCTCAAAGCAGTCACTGACGCTCAGCTGGCCAGGTACAGAGACTGTCAGTTCTTCCAGTGGGTCCCTAGGGGCCCATATGAGCTGGTCCAGCATTCATGTGGGTGGCACGCCTGCCCTATTCTAACCCTCATGTTTGCCACCTGGCACTACACCCCCACTGGCAAAATGCCCAAGGGAAGCAAACCCTACGAGTGCCCACCAGGCTGTGCAGCGGGCAGCATGTGTGAGCAGTGACCGTGCGCCTGTGTCCTCCTGTGCTTAGGGGATGCCAGGGTCAGACGCCCCATCAGGTGGGTGCGGTGGAGCCCCCGGGTCACCTGTTGGTTCAGAGCACCCCAGATGCTACTGCCTGACAAGCTTCTCCCTGGGGCGCAGTGGCTGGGGGTACTGCCTAGGTGCCAGGCTCGGTGCTGAGCATAGCACATACTCTGGCTCCCTGAAGCTATGCAAAACGCAGCTGGGGAGGCATGGCAGCCCATTTTCTAGCTCTAGATAAGTCACGTGTCCCAGGTGACATCCCAGGAACTTGCCACATAAGCCAGTAGTAGGTCTGATCCTAAGAGCGTGAGTCTCTCTCCCACCTGTGCACATGGAGATGGAGGCACCTGTGCAGAGGTGTGGCTCCACTGGTCTCCTCCCCTGAGGGACAGCAGGTCCTGGGGGTGGGGGGTGCCCATTTCCCCGGAGGCCACTCCACTTCATTATTCTAAAGCCTTTTCCTTATCTGTGCTTGTGGCCCGGGCCAGGCCCGCAGCAGGGAGTCGCCAGGGAGGGGGAGGAGAGGGGAAAGAAGGAGGCAGGGCGGGGGCTGCTCCCTCCTGGCCCCCGGGCCCCTCCCTGCGGCCTGGGAAAAGGCAGCATATTGAGGCGCGGGGCTCCCAAAATCAGGCCCCGGGATGCTAATGAGGGCGAGCGCGTTCCCACAGCCCGGACATTGTGCCGCGCGGCCCACCTGCTCCTCGGGGAGCGCCCATTGTGCCCGCGCCAATTCACAGGCAATTTAGCGTGCGCTAATGGGCCGGCGCCTTTGTGCGGCCCGCGCCGCCATTGGCCGCCGAGTGTGGGAACGGCCGCGGCGCCCGGGCCCCAGGCGCCAGCCCGCCGCCCGCGCCTATATAGGGGCCGGGCCGCAGCGCCCGGACGCGCCTGGCCGCCCGCCCGCTCCCGGCTCGCCGATCGCCTCTCCGCGCAGACATGGCCCCCAGCACCGTGGCGGTGGAGCTGCTCAGTCCCAAAGAGAAAAACCGAGTAAGTGCGCAGCCGGCCGGCGCGCCGCCCCGGCGCCCGCGCTCTGTCCTGCTGCCCCCCTGACGCCCCCTCCTCCCGCAGCTGCGGAAGCCCGTGGTGGAGAAGATGCGCCGCGACCGGATCAACAGCAGCATCGAGCAGCTGAAGCTGCTGCTGGAGCAGGAGTTCGCGCGGCACCAGCCCAACTCCAAGCTGGAGAAGGCCGACATCCTGGAGATGGCTGTCAGCTACCTAAAGCACAGCAAGGGTGAGCACCCCCCCTCCCCGCCCCGCGCCCGCCCCGGCCGCGCCCCGCCCCGCGGCGCCCCGCTTACCGCTGCCCGGTCTTCCCGCAGCCTTCGCCGCCACCGCGGGCCCCAAGAACCTGCACCAGGACTACAGCGAGGGCTACTCTTGGTGCCTGCAGGAGGCCGTGCAGTTCCTGACGCTGCACGCGGCCAGCGACACGCAGATGAAGCTGCTCTACCACTTCCAGCGACCCCCGGCCCCGCCCGACGCCCCCACCAAGGAGCCCAAGGCACCCGCACCGGCGCCCGCCCAGGCCAAGGCCAACGCGGCTGCCCGCCAGCCCCCCTGCGGCCTCTGGCGGCCCTGGTGACCCGGCCGGATGTGCTGCTGCCGCCCCAGGACCAGAGGGCCAGCCGTTCTTGTGACGTAGGGAAGAGCCTTCCCAAGCGTCGGTCCCACCCCAGGCTTGGACAGGCCCTTCCCTCCGAAGGCCAGCAGGAGGGTCATTCTCAGAGAATGCGTGCAGAGTCCTCGTCATTTAGGACAATCAGGGCCCACCTTCTGCCGAGCGTCTGACCCCATGGGGTTGTTCTGTGTTTGCATTTCAGCAAGTGACTTCTGGGAAGTCCCCTCTGCCCGGGGTTCTATGACATTTGTAGGCGCTGGGGGCTTGGTGCCCCTGCGTGTAGAGGACTTTCTTCAGGGCCCGTGCTGCTGGGCCGGTGGGCCTGGCAGGCGGGCGTGCCTTGCGTGGGCACATTTGCCTTTTGTGAAGGCGGAACTCAAGGTGCATCCTCATAGGAAAGAGCGTCAGCCTGGATGGGCGCGTGAGGACCACGCGGAGCCGAGGCCGAAAGGCTGCTTGCTGCGTGGGCTTGGTTGTCTGGTTGGGGCTCCCAGTGGGCTGTGGGAAGGGTGGGCGTCTCCACCATGATCCTTAAAGGATTCCCGTGTGGGTGGGTGCGTGGGTTTGACTTTGTACTCAGAATCTGATCTCTGTCACGTGGGAGCCACGGGACTGCCCTGCAGACTTCCAATAAAATCTGAGTATTCGGCCCATGCAGTTGGTCCCTTGTGTTTCATGTGTGTTCTTGGCAGCCGCAAGGCGGGCGGGTGTCAGGGGTGAAGGGGAGCGGGCACTATCATGGTGTGCAACCGCACAGGAAGAAGGGCTGGGTCCTGGCAGAGGGAAGGCGGGAGGAGAAGGGGAGGCAGGGGAGAGGCAGGCTGGAAGGGGAGAGGGCCTTGCAGCACATATACCCCGTGTGCAGGGAAACGGGACACGTGAGAGACCTGGATTTCCACCCGGGCCTCTCACTAGCTCCCTGCAGGTGGGGTGGGGGCCAAGTGACAGCTACAGGACTTTCCAGCTCTGTCCAGCTGAGAGGGACCCAAAGGCCAGGGCCTGCAGTAGCGCTCTTGCTGCAGCAAAAAGGGTTTAGCTGAGCCAAACACACAGGAAAATACAGAGGATGCCAAAAACATATATACATATATTAAAGAGGAAAAAACTATTAAAATTCTAATACTCAATATACACGGGTAACATAAGACGAATACAAGTCACGTTTGACTTCTGCAATTACAAGAGGTGCTCCAAGTGGTTCCCATCAGCGTCCAGATACTTCTGATTATGGCGAACTAATGCTTGAGGATAGATAACATCTCTTAAAATGTATACATATTTTTTGGCACCCCCGGTACTTGTCCCTACCCTGACCCTCCCTGCATGGCTGGCAGCCCGTCCCTGGAGGAGCTCCCGGGGGCACCTGCTTGGCTAGCCCACAGGTGGCAGCCCTACTCTCCCTGCTGGCTGACTGTTTACGAGGGCTGGAACAGGCAGTCCTGGCTATGAACCTGTCAAGGGCAGTCCCTTGTCTCAAAAAGGGCACCTATTTTTAGGCAGGCTACAGGGTGCTGGTTGAGTCTGCAGAAACCTAGAGGCACCCTGCTTCACCAAAGAGCAAAAGCCACCCGTGGGAACGGACCAGAAGGCACTCATATTTTCAGAGACACGGAGCCCAGTGCCGCCTTCCCTCCTTCCTGCTTAGCACCTCTCTAGCCTCTGCCTTCCATTCCTCTGTCCGCTCTGCAGGAAATGTCCAAAGGCACCCCCTCAGGGCCAGCCCAGTGCCTGCCCGTGGCCTCTGGGGTCCCTACTGAGCCCAACAGGGATGAGCGGGGGACAACAGCCTCCTTCTACATCCTTTATTACACATGTGGCAGTCACATCAATCAGTGGGTGGGGTGTGCCTCCTAGCCAGGCTGGCCCACGGGCGTCCCACTGCCCAGGGTCCTCGATGCTTGAGGATGACCCCTCGGAAGCAGACCCTCCGTATTCTTCCACCCCAGGCCGCCCCACGCAGAGCAGATGCCTGCAAGGCTGCGTCCCCGCTGAAGCCTTGCCTGATGCATGGGCCTCTGCGGCGAATCACCCCTGGAGCTCTGACTTTGTACCGCTCCACAGGCCCCCTGCCAGCATCTGGTGGCATGCTCGACCGTGGCTGAGGTCCAGAGACAAGAAGGCACCAGCCTAGGGTCACCTAGGAGACAGGTGCCAAAGCCACTGAGGGGCCCTATGTCTGCTTCCAACACTGGGCTCTTTCCCCGAGCATGATGTTTCTAAAGGGGACACATCCCTTAAGGGTCCCCAAGCCAGTGGAGGCTTCCCAGTGACTGGCCCTGGAATCACGTCGTCCCCCCCCACACACCCATCTGTGTCCCTACTCAGTTTTGGGAGCTTTCTCAGCATGTTCCCTGCAAACTCCCATAGATGCCTCCTCTTGCCCGAAGGCAGCCTCCTCCAGGCAGGCTCCCCTGCACTCTCTGAGAACTGGGCCATCAAAGCCCGCATTTTCCCCAGCTGCAGGTGCATCTCCCACCCTGGGCTGGGGACACCTCAAAAACAAGGTCCCCAACTCCCCATTTGACATCGGACTTTGGACACCGACAGCCCTGCATCCCTGGAGAACCAGGCAGTGGGTCACATGTGCCCTCGCGTGCAGGTGCCAGGCTTACAGCCGCACTCACTGAAAGGGACAGCTCTGGTGGTCTGCAAGTCCCAGGTGCCTCCTCCGCACTCAGCTCAGAGCACTTGAGGACAGCACCTGGCCAGCTTGGTGGAAGAACAAAGACGACAACAGTTTAGACGACAGAGGTTTAGACGACAACAGTGCAGAGGTTTTGTGTTGGGCTCCCTATCCGGCTGGGCCTCTCGGACCCCTGCCCGGGCCAGCCGGAGTCGGCCCTCCAGTGGCCCAGATCGCGGAGGGGGGCGGGGCGGAGCCGGCCCGGACGCCTCATTAGCATAATCTATGCGCGAGAGGCGTTTAGCAGTCAAATATATGCGCATATATCTCCATGGCTGATGAGGCTGGCCGGGCATATTCAAAATGGCGGAGTGTGGAGCGAGCGGCAGCGGGAGCAGCGGAGACACCCTGGACAAGAGCATCACGCTTCCCCCCGACGAGATCTTCCGCAATCTGGAGAACGCCAAGCGCTTCGCCATAGACATCGGTAGCCGCGGGCGGGCCCGGGGAGAGGGGTGGTGCGCAGCGGGCGTGGGCGCGGGCGGCGGGGCCGACGGGCCGGGGGTGGCGGCAAGGACGAAGGGCGGGGCGCGGGCCGGCGGCGCCCACGGCTTGACGGACCCCGTAGTCCGCGGGCCGCCGGCGCGCACGGCCTGACGGGCTTTGTAGTCCGCGGGCCGCCAGCGCGTACGTTTGTCGCGGCGGCTGGACTACAGCTCCCGGCAGGCGCCGCGCGAGCGAAGCGGGGCATGCTGGGCCTCGTAGTCCCGCTTATGGAGGGTTGGCAGCCGGGCGGGGCCTTTCGGGCCGCGGGTTTGGGTGGCTACTCCGGCCGGCGGTAGATCTCGAGCCCATTGTCCAGGGCGGGGACGTGGACGGGCGGTAGCCCCATCTCTGGCGGCCGCGCGGACCCTAACCCTGCAGGCCCTGTTCTCGGACGGTGGTCGTTTGGCGGGAGTTTCGACGACCCGGACGTGGGACCTCGGAACCTCTGCTGACCTCTGGTCAGAAGCCTCCGAGTCTCCCGCGGCCTGCAGGGGATCCCCCAGGGCCCGCACTCAACCCCCGCCCCCGCCCGCCTTGCCCCCTGCACCAGGCCCATGCTCGAGTCTATTTCCCCCACTGACGCCCTGACACCTCCCGGTAGCGTGCTTTCATTAAGGTGGAGGGGCCGCCGGGCGGGTAAGCAGCCCACTCTCCGGCACTCTGCTACTCTGCCTGGGTATCGGAACAGAGGGCTTCCTGGAGGCAGCGTCACTGGGCAAGGCCCAGCGAGTCGGCCACCGCAGCTTTGCACTGCACTGCTCCCCGCAGCGGGATCGGGCTGTGGCCTGAGTGTCCCTGTCCACAGCCGGGTGTGGACGGCGAAGCACCCACGAGCCGGGCAGTGTCTGCTCTCTGGCCCCAGCGCCCGCACCGCACCTGACCCCTCATCACAGCTCAGTAACTGCTGGACTGGACCTTCTCTCCTCAGAGAAGTTGGGCTGTCCCGGGTAGACCTGGCGGTCTGGGAGTCGTTCGCGTCTAATGCATTTGCCACTCCCGTTCCTGGGGGTCAGTTGAGTCATGGGCTTGGGCCAGGATGTTCTCCAGGGGCCTGAGTTCTCACCTTGCAAACCAGGGTGTGCTTCCGATGGCCTGGGGGACCCGCATGGTGCAAGATGCCCTGGTGGGGGGTGGGGAGGCCTACAAGGGGCGGGGCTGTGCTTTGGGGGTACTGGCTGGTGGCAAGTGTGAGATATGGAGGCCAGGCCGAGGCTGGATGGGAGGGTGGGCGGGGAAGTAGCCTAGGGAACCTGACAGCAGGTGGTGCCTGCCTGGGTGGTGGGCATGGGAGCCCAGCCTATGGGGTCGTCCACAACCAGGCCTCTCTGGGGGCCCCACTGCACTGTCTTTGGTGTCCTGCCCAGGCCAGGATGTGACTGCAGGCCAGTCGGTGTGAGCTCTGAGGTTCCGATTTGCTCTGCAGGCCTTCACTTGGGGCTTCTGCTCCAAGGGAACACGGGAGCCCTTAACGTTTTGGAAATGCAGCTGTAAATGGACTTGGCACGGGCGTACCTCAGGGGTTCAGCGTGCCCCCCCCCCGGGCCAGCTGGTAGCCACCAAGGAAGGAACACCCTGTCTCCAGGGGCCAAGCCCAGGGGGGTTCCTTGCCGGCAGAAGGACACTCAAAGGGATTTTTAGTGTCAGTATTTATTTCCTCTCATGGAAGTTTCCCCTGGGTCTGGTTCCTGTCTCTTCAAAGGCCATGTTCTTTGTCAGTAAGGACAGACCTTTGGTTTGTTAGTGCAGCTGATGGGAGGCCACGGCTCAGGCAGGGTCCTCAGCCCAGGAATCCCCAAAGCCCGTTTGCTTGTCCACAGTTTGGCTTACAAACAGGCTTGTCCGTTTGCTCGTCCCTTGCCCCAGCCTCTCCAAGACCCAGGAAAGCCCAGCTGCTTGGTACTCTTGGCCAGTCCTTCTCAGTGGGGCACCCAGGTCCACGGGATGGGCTCCCCACTTTGAAACCACCAGGGACGTTTTGCCTGTTAACACACACTTGGGGCTGACTTGGCTTCAGGTGTCTGCCAGGCAGCAGGAGGATCGATCTCAGGTGAGATGGAAGTGGGGACTGTAGGGCGAGGACATGCACTGGGGTGTCCTGCCCCACTTGGTGCCCATCGTGGAAGGACAGGTCATGGAGGGTGGCAGGGAGGACAGTGCTGGGTCTGGGTGAACTGGAAGGCCTTGGCCCAGGTGCTGGAGGAAAGATGACGGCAGGTCCCTCCTGTAAGGCAGGGCTGTCGGCCCGGGTGGAGTGTGGGCTGGGCCAGAGCACAGTGCCCTCGAGGGAGCCAGGGCTGCGCGTTCCCTGGCCGGTCCCTGTCCTTGTCAGGGACGACGGTCCCACCAAGCGGCTGTCATTCGCAGTAACTCCAGGGGCTCCTGAGCACAGCCCGGCTCCTGCTGTCTGAGGCCCCGAGCGCTCACTGAGCTTCAGGCTGAGCGGCCTGCTCCCCACGTCCCCACTTCCGCCCATCTGACCCCTCCCGGGGGCAGTAGGAGGGAGTCCTGGCGGTGCCCATTGTCGCCCCAGCACCCGTGTTTGGCTGCGATCTATGGCTGACTCAGAGAGCACACAACTGGAAATTGGATTCTGGGACCCAGCTGTTTATTTACAGTAACTTTTGACAAGTTTCTCAAAACCTCCACCCCTGTGTCAGTTGTGAACAGGACACCACATGCTTTAGGAAGGCGCTGGGGCCAGGCCTGGCAGGGGCTGAGGAGGCCGTGGACTGCACTCTCGTCACAGTCTGGGGATGAGAGTAAGCCCATGACCACACGCGGGCCCCTCCATGGCCTGACAGGGCAGGTCGAGGGACGTCCCGGGAGGTCCCATTCACACTGCGGGGCTGCGGCTCAGGCAGGACGGGCGGTGTGATTCTGGTGACCCTCGCAAACCTTGGTGTTGCTACATCTGTTTGCCATCTTGAGCGCTTCTCATGTGTCCCCTTAGTATTTTGTCACAAAACAACCGTTGAGCAGTTTTAGCCTTCTCTTCTCATAATGAGGATTTCTGCCGGGCCCCATAAGAAACCTTTTATTTCAGAGTAATTTTGTGGTGCTAAGTGGGTCACTTCTCCTTCTGTCTGCCACCTGTGGGCTGTCACCGTGCGACGGTATCTGATGCCTCACGCTTGGCCTGTCTGACGAAGGAGGGTTCACGAGACCTTAGCCCTGAATACAGTGGCCCTGAGGCCCCTTCTCACTTGTCCTGAAATGTCTTTCAGGCAAATACAGGCCTCTCCTGCTTCCTGACACCCGGTCTCTGGCCCGTCCCAGGGGCCTCAGGGTTCCTCAGGGGCGTTCATGAGGCCTGGCCATGGGGACGAGAACTCACTGCCCTTGGTGGCCTCCCCTGGTCACTCAGAGCCTTGGGCTGCCTCCCCAGCCTGAGCCTGTGGGGGCAGGGCTGCTGCTCTCCAGCCCTGGTGACACCCTGCACCTGCCCACTCTGGGAAAACGCTCCTTTCACTACCGTCACACCTTGTGACCACGCACAACTGAGCGCATGCTTTTCAGTGAAAGTGGGCTTGTCAGCTTTTTTCTTTGGGTCATTTTCAAGATCAGAGCTTGAAACAGAATTTCCCAAAACTACTAAGGAGCGCCAGGGTCTCCTAGACACAGACGATGCCCTTTCTCCTCCGGGCCTTGGTACGGAGGGACATGGACCGTCTCCAGCCCGGTCTGGTGCAGGCCTGAACGGAAACAGACATTTTCAAAGGACGCAGAGTGTTGGGGTCTCGGAGTGCATCACTCCTCTGCTTGGTGCCCACGGGCTCTTTTAAGTTTAAGTAGCACCTGACGCCATGTGCGCGGGAGCCAAGTCTGGCAGAGGACAGCACGCGGAGGGCTGAGTTCCGGGTCCCTCCATCCTGCTGCTTAATTTCCCTGGTTGTGTCTCGCCTGCAGGTGGGTCGCTGACCAAGCTGGCATACTACTCCACAGTGCAGCACAAAGTGGCCAAAGTGCGGTCCTTTGACCACTCTGGCAAGGTGAGCGTCCTGGGTGTCCAGGTTGGCGGGCTGTGGGTCAGACCTGCGCAGACCAGAGGCGCCACCTGGCTGTGGGCTCGGGCCTGGCACCCTCTCATTTCCTGCTTGCTGCCCCTCTGCTGCTCACGCACATCAGCTTAGCTTCCTGCCAGTTTCTGGTGTTGCGCCCTGCCCTTTCCTCCAAACCTGGGCAGGAGCACCTCCACCTGCTCCTTCCCCATCGGGGGCCCTGCCCTCCCCCGACCTGCCTCCTGCCTCAAGTGGGCATCCAGCGTTCTGCCTGTTTCAGGTGACGGAAGTCGTTGGCGTTGTTGGGTGGGTGTTTAACGGCCTGGTCTCTGTAGCACGGCACACACACAGACCCCCCCACTGTACCCCCAGGACTCAGAGCAGGATCACGAGTCCCCCTACGAGATTTCCGTCCAGGAGGAGGTGACCGCCCGGCTGCATTTTGTCAAGTTCGAGAACACCTACATAGAAGCCTGCCTGGACTTCATCAAAGACCACCTCGTCAACACCGAGACGAAGGTCATCCAGGCGACCGGGGGCGGGGCGTACAAGTTCAAGGACCTCATTGAAGAGAAGCTGCGGCTGAAGTGAGTGGGGGCAGCAGCCTCGGTTCTCGGGGACGGGCTTGAAGCAGGGGCAGCTGACGTAGGCCTGGCTGCTGCCCCTGACGCACCCTGGGGATTTCTAACACCCCACGACCGTGGTGAGGCTTTGGGGGCTGGTAGGGGACTGTGGGCCTGGGGCTGCGCTCAAGGCCGGGCTGCAGCAGGATTCAGGTGGCCGAACCCCAGGACGGTGGGTGGGAGTGTGGGGAGAGGAGCACGGTGCAAGGAAGGAAATGGGGCCCTGAGGAAAAGCCCACCCCGCTCCCAAGGGTGACAGTCCCTGAGGTCTGCAGTGCTGCTGTGGGAGCTCAGGCGGTGCCGCTCGTGCGGTGGCAGTGCCGGCCTTGAGGTGCACTCAGCTGGCTCTGTGGCGCTGGCTTGTCTCCGGGGAGTTTCAGCGCGGAGGGGACTCTGCGAGCTGCTCTGTTGGAGCTGCCTGTATCTTAGAGTTAGAAGCTGAGCCCAGCCGGGCAGGGAGCAGTGTCTCCTAGGAGACACCCCTGGTGTTACAGCAGCTCAGTGGCCGGCGCCTTCCTTTGCAGAGTTGACAAGGAGGATGTGATGACTTGCTTGATAAAGGGGTGCAACTTCGTGTTAAAGAACATCCCGCAAGAGGCCTTTGTGTATCAGAAAGACTCGGACCCCGAATTCCGGTTTCAGACAAATCACCCCAACATTTTCCCATATCTTCTCGTCAACATCGGTTCTGGGGTCTCTATTGTGAAGGTGAGGCTCGGCTTCATACAGCGAGTGAGTGACGATTCAGCTCTGGCTTGTTGAGCACTTGCTGTATGTGGGAGCCCCTGGGCACAGGGATGCGGACAGATGTGACGCGGGACTGGCTTCCGCATTTGTTGGGGGTCTAAGGCTATCAGTGGGAAGGCGGTGCCCCTCACCTCCAGCATCCGCCAGGCCCGCCCCCTCAGGCCTTCCAGAGCACCGTCCCCGCCGTATCTGGGGATGCCCCTGGGCCACCATGTCCCCGGGACCTGCTGGGTGGTGGCTGGGGGCCTGCTTCTGATGCATCTGCCCTCCGTTGACCTGCTCCCAGGTGGAGACCGAGGACAGGTTCGAGTGGATTGGCGGCAGCTCCATCGGAGGGGGCACCTTCTGGGGGCTTGGGGCTCTGCTCACCAAAACCAAGGTATCCCAGCGGCTACAGGAGGACGCCCCTGGCTCTGCGCGGTTGTCTCTGGGCCTTTCAGGAAAGGGCTGGTGCCTGTGGGGGTTGTTATGAAAGTGGCTCATTCCTGGGCCTCGTCCCTGTGCTTTCCTGGGTCCCCGAAGGACTGGCGTGCAGTTGGTCAGAGCGTGGCCCACCTGGGGGTCCCCGGAGTCCTCCCTGTCTCCCCGCCCCACACACAGCTTGCTTCCTTTTGGGCTTGGTTTCCGGGGCCGTAGGGACCCCACCCATTCCTGGCTGCTCTGTCCCCAGAAGTTTGATGAGCTGCTGCACCTGGCCTCCCGGGGCCAGCACGCCAATGTGGACATGCTGGTGCAAGACATCTACGGCGGGGCCCACCAGACCCTGGGGCTCAGCGGCAACCTGATCGCCAGCAGCTTCGGAAAGTCTGCCACCACCGACCAAGGTACCGTCTGCCTGGCTCGCTGTGCCCGCTCACCCGCCGACACTCGCGCACTGTCTTCTTGCCAGTAGCGCTCTGCTCTGCTGTCTCCCCCAGAGTTCTCCCAGGAGGACATGGCCAAGAGCCTGCTGCACATGATCAGCAACGACATCGGGCAGCTCGCCTGCCTGTACGCGCGGCTGCACCGCCTGGACCGGGTGTACTTCGGCGGCTTCTTCATCCGGGGCCACCCCGTCACCATGCGCACCATCACCTACAGCATCAACTTCTTCTCCAAGGTGAGGGGCGCCCCCGCCCGCCCCTCCGCCACCCAGGCGCTGGCACAGACCCTCAGTGTCTCCAGAACTAGCCGACCCAAGGGACAAGGGCCCGAAGGCAGGCAGGCAGGACGCTGGGTGCCCGCTGCCTGGCCTTCCTGTCCCCCTGGGCACCTCTGCAGCCTCTGAGTTGGGCGTGTTACCCGTGGTGAGCGTTCTAGGGACCGTCTCCCATTGTCAGCGAGCTTCAGACAAGCTTGGAGACGTCCGCTGCGCTGCCGTCCACTCTGGGCCAGGCCCGAGGGGCCTGCCGACGGGTGAAATGGGTGGGTGTTCATTCACCCTGTCTTCTCCAAATGACAGGCTTTTAAATTCTGTTTGAATTCAGCCGGCTTGAGCAGTCAACTGTGGACAACTCAGGAACGCTCCAGGACGTGGGGCTGCTTCAGAGCTGGGCGGGCTTAGTGGTGGGCGTGGCGGGGCTGCTTCAGTTGGGGTTTTGCCGTCGCAGGGGGAAGTGCAGGCCCTGTTCTTGAGACACGAAGGCTACCTGGGAGCCATTGGAGCATTTCTAAAAGGAGCCGAACAAGACAGTGAGTAGCGTGGCCGTGGGGCGTGGCCTGTGCTCAGCGTCAGGCGACGTGGGGCACACGTGGCCCAGGCAGGTGGAAGGAGTAAGGCCGCAGGGAGGGACTGGGTGGGTCCTTAACCTTGAAGTAAGCCACCCCCTCCCGACCTCAGCGTCCCCGTTTGAGGCAGTGGCTCTGCTGGGTCCCTCCCCGGCAGTGGGGGGGCCAGGCCAGCCCTTGCTGTGATTCTCCTGGGGGGGCAGTGGGCAGTGGAAACCGACTCGTGTGGGTTTGCATGCGACGTAATCAACCCAAGGGGGTCCTTGTGAGCGACGGGGGCTCTGTGCAGGGGCCCTGGCGTGTGGCCTCATCTGCTCCCACCTCCTCACTGTCCCACGAGCTCGGTCTCCTCAGCGGAGGCGCTTCCGGTCTGTCCTTGCTGAAGGGCGCTGGGAGGAACGGCAGCTGTGATTGTTGGGCACGTGCCGATGGAAGCAGGCCGTGACCTTCCCTGCACCCTTCAGTCCACTTTTTTATTTGTGTCAAACGAGAGAAGCATTACTTAAGAAGCTTTAAAAGGTCTAAGTGGTCACTTCAGTGGTTATTATTTCAGTAAGAAATAATAACACAGAGCAAGATGCCTGGCTCACTGACTCACTTGGGCAGCTGGTCCTTCTCCAGACACGGTCAGGCCGTCCCGGGGTTTGCTGTGTCCCTCCCCTAGGCTGACGCCTGGTTTCTCACTTTCCAGACCCGAACCAGTACAGCTGGGGAGAAAACTATGCAGGCAGTTCTGGCCTGATGAGCTCGTCGCCTGAGCTCTGCCCGACGCAGCGGACGAGGAGCGGCACCGTGAGTATGGGGCCCGCTGGGGGCTCGGTGGCATTGCTGTGGCACTTTCTGGTACAGAGTGGGCTTTCATCAACCACAGACTTTGGGCAGAAGACAGACATTTGCAGTTTGCCACCTTCCTCCCTTACTTATTCTCATGCTTTCTAAGCATTGAGCCTTAGACACCTGCAGTCCAGCCCCTGGGTTTGCAGGGAGGACAGGGGCCTTTCCCAGGGCTGGGGGGCCCTTCACAGCAGAATCGGGGTTAGAACCCTGAGTCGCAGGAGCCTCTAGCCCCTTCCCTGAGACCACATCTGCCTGATGGTTGCAGGGCAGCTGCCTTCCTTGGAAGGTTGCAGCCCATCCCGCATCCCCCGCTTGGGCTGAGGCCCACTGTGACGGGATGGGGCTCCCCCGGCCTGCTGCGCCAGGACCGGTGTCAGCCACACACAGGATGCTGCCGCCATGGCCCCATCCTAGCGGAGATGGTTTTGTGGGCTGTCGCAGGCTTACTGATGACACGTCCCAAATGGCAGGTTACTCTTGTAACTGGTAAGCTGTTGTCACCCAGTGACAACTTTTGTCGCTGGTGAACTGGCACTCAGTGTTGGGGAACAGGCTAGATGAGTTCAGGCGACGGGTCTGGACACCAGTCAGAATGTCACCTTCAGTACCAGCCTGCTGCCTTTGTGACGGTTGTAGACGCAGGCTGTCTCCTAAGTTAGCAGATACGTGGTAAGAACGTGCCTGACCTAGTTAGGACTTGGGAGAGAGCTGTGTGTGTGGCCTGCACTGTGCGTCACCTCCACACCCCGCGGGGGGAGGGGGTGGTGCGGTAGGGGACCAGCATGCAGTGGGCTGCAAGGACCCGGCCCCAGGCCTGGTCAGCAGTGACTGGCACTTGGAGAACGGTCTCAACGTTTCTCAGCCCCCGTTGGGTTCGTCAGATGGCAACATGGATTCCTGCCGCACAGATTGCGAAATTGATGGATATGTGGGCAAGAAACCCTTCTCTCAGTGCTGACGTGTGACATGGGCAGTTCTCCAACAGAACAGCGTGGGGCAGGCGGGTGGCGTTTGTGATGGGCCCACTGTGCCGGGTTCTCGCGTGGCCCTGTGTGGTCTGTGTTGACACTGGGCTGAGGTGCCAGAGGACCAGGTCGCTTCTTTGTGTTTATGTAGCCAAGACGGCAAAGCTGGGCTTTCATCCGCAGTTTGTCAGGATAGCAGGGGACCCCTTGGAGACCGGTGAGGCAGGAGACACTGGCAGATGGGTACGGAGGTGACTACTGCCACCTTTCATCCGTGTGGGAACATACCAGCTGTTTCCAGGCCAGACTTCAGTCACATGGGTACACTCAGAAAGCCAGTGTGTCCCTTGTGTGTTGGTCTGTCCAGGCCGTCCCGGCTCAGAGCACACCTGCCTCTCCGTCCCCACTAGTTTGCCAATCAGAAGCACTCCTGGCAGAGAATGGTTAAGTTCCAAGTATGGTCCTGCCGGCGAGCAGTGCTCGCTCACTTGTTCAGGCCCCAGAGCAGCTGCCTGACCCATCTCCACTCTTTACAACGTAAAACTCGGCCAGCCAGGTGGGTGACCATGCGCTCAAAGAGCACACGGCCCTGCTTGCTTGGTGCTGGCAGCCACAGGAGGCACGTCGGGCACAGGGGCCCGGCCTTCGCTGAGCACAGCTGGGAGATGGTTTTGAACACTGGGTGTGTGGTCAGCAGACACACTGTGGAGAGAGAGGGGCCAGTGTGTATGGGCTGGGAGCTGCCGGCCCCTATGGGGTCACCGCAGCCTTGTTGTGGAGCTGACACTGGGCCGGAGCCGCAGGACGGGCCCACCAGACAGTGAGTGAGGACAGCGCCCGTGGGGGGACCCCTGAGCAGGAGAAACGAGGCCCAGAAAAGTGGCTGGTGTGTCGGGGGTCATGAGCATGGAGGAAAGGGGCCTAAGCTGGTGTGGGAGCCCACGGGCCACCAGGCATCGTCCTGCAGCAGGAAACACAGTGAGAGGCGTAAGGTGGGGGTGGCTGAGGTGCTCCCGGGACCAGGCGGGAAGTGACCTTGGTGGTGAGCAGACTCAGGATCCAGTGGACAGAGCGCAGGACAGTGCTGGACAGAGGGACAGGTGGGGGTGGGGCCCAGACACGGACTGGATGTCCGCTCCCTGCGTGAAGTGGCTTCTAGCTGAGCCCTGTTCTTACAGAGAAGCTGGTTCTAAAATACAGAAGGTCGCCTTGGCCTTTGAGGAAAGTGCACTGACGGGTTCACCTGCTTGTCATCCTCCCAGTTTGACCTGCTGGAAATGGACCGGCTGGAGAGGCCACTGGTCAACCTGCCACTCCTTCTGGACCCATCTTCCTACGTGCCTGACACAGTGGACCTCACGGATGATGCGCTGGCACGCAAATACTGGCTCAGCTGCTTCGAGGAAGCTCTGGATGGGGTGAGGGGCGTGGCTCCAGGAGGCTCAGGGCGGGGTGAGGGGCGTGGCTCCAGGAGGCTCAGGGCGGGGTGAGGGGCGTGGCTCCAGGAGGCTCAGGGCGGGGTGAGGGACATTGTGCGTAGGGTCCCCCAGGGGCCACAGTGAAGTGTGCTGACAGCGGGTGGGGTGTTCTCCATCTGCGTTTGAGGCTGAGAGGGGTGATTGTTGTTTTTCAGGTAGAAATGTGACTCCGAGTGGGTTGTTGGCACCTGGTATCAGCAAAGCACGTTTCTTACAAACACGCCAAGTGTCTTTGCTACTTACTGCATTTTTTCCAAAAAGGGAGCAGTTCGTGCAGGGGTTGCGCAGCTGGGGATGGACTCCAAGCTGGGTCCTGGCTCAGACCATCAGAGCCCCCTGGGAACAACTGACCCTCTGTAAAATCCCTCGAGAGACCCCTGGAGTCTGTTTTCAGGGGAGGGGTCCCACCCTGCCCAGACCCCTCACGGGCTGTTTCTTCTTGGCGAGAGCTGGTGGCAAGTAGGACTCGGGGACTTGTAGTGGGTGACACAGGTCTGAGCCTTGAACAGGGGTGGTGGTGACCCCTGTTCCCACCTGCTAGGGGAAGGCCCCGGTAGACTCACCTGCCAGGCCACGAGCCTGTCACCAGTAGCTTCCGCTGACGCCGCCCACTCGTGGGTGGGGGGAGGGGCCGGGACTCGGCTGAGCGCCCTGCCTTTGGCAGGTAGTGAAGCGCGCTGTGGCGAGCCAGCCGAGCTCCGTGGATGCGGCCGAGAGGGCGCAGAAGTTCCGCCAGAAGTACTGGAACAAGCTGCAGACGCTGCGGCAACAGCCCTTGTGAGTGTGCTTCCTGAGGGGGCGGCACATAACGCCGGCGAGCCGAGCCGAGCCCAGGGGGACCCCATGTAAGCCGGCGAGCCGTGCCTGGGTGGCCCCCGCTGGGAGCATACATGCACTCCTGGGGGCCTGGGGCCCCAGGAACCGCTCCTGGGGTTCCCGCGAAGCCCTGCATGCCCCGCATTGAACACACGACTGGGGCTGCTCAGCGAGGCCCGGGACCCCAGTGTCACAGCCCTGCTGCCGTCCACTCTTCTCCTGGCGGCGCCTGGGTGCTGGGAGAATGTCCCCGGGAGCGGGGGATGCTGGCCCACTCAGCAGCCTCCGCCTGGCTCTGTCCCCAGCGCTTACGGGACGCTGACCGTGCGCAGCCTTTTGGACACGAGGGAGCACTGTTTGAACGAGTTCAACTTCCCAGACCCCTACTCCAAAGTGAGTGCCACCCCCCTGCATGCGTGCAGGGGGACATGGGGCGGGAACCAGGGGCGTCCTGTCTTGTCTGGTGAGCCGGGTTGGTAGCAGCCCCAACCCCCAGCGCTGGTGACAGGCTACGTCCTGCAGCCACTCTGGCGAGGGCCTGTCTCCTAAGAACATTGGGCGGCCCCTCGGTTGTCAGTGCTTACTGAAGCGCTGTGGATTGGAGTGCTGTGGTGACCTCCAGAGCAGAGAAGTGTCCTGGGGGCTCTAACCAGCAGCCAGGTAGGGTCGGGGCACGTGGCAGGAGAGGGGATTGGGTGGCCAGAGCCTGGCAGGTCGCCCTTCTGACCAGGAGGCAGCTGGGTGCCCAGGAGGGTGGGAAGGGTCCAGGGCCACCACAGCACCCCGATTCCCACCTCCCCGCCCCTCTCTGTGGGAGCATCTGGGAATGGGGGTCTGGGGACAGGGTTTCACGGTCAGGTCCTGGCCCTTCTCTGCCTGCCCTCGGTCCTGAGCCTTGTCCTTCTCGGCGCAGTTCAGACGTGCATGGGTGTCGGCACCTCTGCCCCGTGTTCTTGCTGACACCGTTTGAGTGTGAGCAGTATTTTTAACCTGATCCGATCTCGGTTTGTTTAAACTTGTGGTGATGTCCTCTTAGAGGGGGCCCACAGTTGGTGGCGCTACCGTGTCCCCAGCAGGGCGCCCTTGCTCCAACCTGCTCTGCCGAGGACCTGGAGGAGGCAAGGCCCCTTTGTCACTCACAGCGTGGGTGTCGTGTCCCCTGCAGGTGAAGCAGAAGGAAAACGGCGCGGCCCTGAAGTGCTTCCAGAGAGTGGTCTGCGTGCTGGACACACTGGCCTGGGAGGAGAGGCAGCTGGCGCTGGTCCAAGGACTGCTGGCGGGCAACGTCTTCGACTGGGGGGCGAAAGCTGTCTCTGAGTAGGTGCCCGCTATCTCCTCGGGCTCTGGGCTTGCCCCCCACCCCTCCCTTCCTGGTCCAGCTCGTCCGTATGGCTGCACGTGGCTCAGTGTCAGCAGGCTGCCTGGGCCCCTGATGCAGAGCCCCCCAGCCCCAGGCCTCGGCAGTGGGGAGCCGGGGGTCCCGGTGCAGCTGGCGCTGCCCGTGTGCCCGTAGGGGCAAGTGCGGTGGCTGTGCTGGTTGTGACACTAAGCAGGCGCCAGGACCCATCCCTTGGCCCGTTCTCAGAGCGGCGCCTGGAGGACTGGGGGTGTGGGTTTGGAGGCTGATGTTTTCAGTGGTAAAAATCCAAGTTCACGGTTACCACGCGGAGTAAGGGTCGAAGGCTACTTAGCATTTGGAACGAAAGATACCTCATGAGGGCGTCACTGCTCGGGCCTGGGCAGTGGTGACGACAGTGTTTGGGGTCCCCAGTGAGCCCTGCGGCTGCGGTTGGGGTTTTTGTGACTTCCTTCTCTTCTCTCCGGTGCAGTGTCCTTGAATCGGACCCCCAGTTTGGGTTTGAGGAGGCGAAGAGGCAGCTGGAAGGTATGGATGCCCAGGGCGGCCTCATGTGGGACTCGGCCCGGCAGGGGAGGGGGTGGCGAGGGGGCAGCAGGCTCTGCTGCACTGGGGGCAGGTGGGGACCGACTCCCTGGAGATGTGAGCAGGTGGGTGAGGGTGACTGCCGGTGACAGGACGCGGCTGACCGCATCCCTGTATCCGCAGAGCGGCCCTGGCTGGTGGACTGCTACGACACGTGGCTTCAGAGGCTGAAGGTACACGCAGCTGCCCGTCTGGGTCCCTGGGCAGCGGGACCAGCCGGGGTCACGGGGTGGGGGGTGGTGTGCAGGGCGTGAGCATGAGCTGACCCAGGATGGAAACCTGAGTGCCAGCCAGACCTGGGCAGTGTGCCGAGGGCCCCTTAGCACCCCCCACTTGCACCCCCAGCTGCAAGTCTAAGTTAACCATTCCCTGTTCCAAGCCTGGCTCCTGTGGGGACCATTGGTCAGCTGACCTCAGTTCAAAGGTGGTTTGGGCAGCAGTTCTGAAGAAGTATGGGCTGGCCCTGCCCCAGCGCCCGTGGGACCCAGCAGCCGTTGGCCTTGGCCACGGGGAGTGGAGTGCAGAGGGGTCTGAAACGCTTGGACGCGCCTGTTCCCAACTAAACGTCCTGGTTTTGTCTTGCAGGGGCCCCCTCACAAATGTGCCTTAATTTTCGCAGATAACAGTGGAGTAGACGTCATTTTGGGAGTCTTCCCCTTTGTCAGGGAGCTTCTGTCTAGAGGGACGGAGGTGAGTGTGAGGGCCGCGCGGGACCCTTGCCTGGCTCCTCCACTGTCGGTGGGGTTGGCGCTGCTCCTCAGGGCAGCAGGTAGGTGTGGGTGAGGCGAGGTGGCAGCTCAGTGGGGCGGGAGCGACCGGCCAGTGTGTCGTGGGGCTCAGGTCAGCCTCATTCCATTGTTCTGGGCCGTCTTCATCCTGACCTGAGGGCCGGCTCTGCAGCAGGCCACCGAACAGTGAGAGCTGGCCAGGGGTCTGCTCTCAGCTGCGGCCCTGGGCGGGCGGGCGAGCACGCACAGCCTGGTCGGTGCCCGGCGGCGACCAAGGTCCCTCAAAAGCCCGGGTGTCTGCTGCAGGTCATTCTGGCGTGCAACTCGGGACCTGCCCTGAACGACGTCACCTACAGTGAGTCTCTCATCGTGGCCGAGCGCATTGCAGCCATGGACCCCATTGTCCAGTAAGCCTGGTGGGAGGTCTGGGGTCCCTGGCACGGAGAAGGGGGGCATGGTGGGAGTTTGCGGGGCCACCTCACGGGCACCGACTCCTTGTGCTCGCAGCTCCGCACTCAGAGAGGAGAGGCTGTTGCTGGTTCAGACGGGCTCCAGCTCCCCCTGCCTGGACCTCAGGTATCTGCGGCAACCCCGCCTGCCGGGTCCCCAAGCCCCTGGTCCGTGCCCACAGTGGCCCTGTGGCAGGGCCCCGGCAGCCCTTGCCTCGGGGACCCTGTCACGGCACTGAGAACTGGGTCTGGCTCGTGTGGGGCGGGAGGCCAAGTGGGGCTACCCCACCTGTAGCTGTCAGGTGGCTGTCCTCCCGTGAGCCTCCTTAGGCCATCGCTTCCGTGCTTTGTGCCCGGGAGGTTCTGACCATAAAGAGCCTGGCCACCTGGCACCAGCGTGTGGAAGAGGCTCTGTCGGCCTTCTGGTCCGCCTGGTGGTGAGCCCTGACCTCTCTCCCAGGCGCCCTAGTAGCCAACAGGGCAAGGTGACGAAGCCCACGAAAAGGAGTCAGGGCCTTTACGGTTCAAAACAGAACAACGTCACCAAGGCCCGGTTTTCAGAGCGGCTGCCTTTTCGTGACGGCACAGCTCCCGAGGGTCCCCAAGGCTGGGCGGGCAGCTGCTGTGCAGCCCACGTAGTTAGCGAGGGCGACGCGGCACTTGGAGGCGGTCAGGGCGTGGCGTTCACCCTGCTGAAGCCCGAGCCTGTCTCACTGTCCCCTTCCTCCCCGAAGCCGCCTGGACAAGGGGCTGGCCGTGCTGGTGCGGGAGCGCAGCACGGACCTGGTGGTCATCGAGGGCATGGGCCGGGCCGTGCACACCAACTACAACGCGGCCCTGCGCTGCGAGTGCCTCAAGCTGGCCGTCATCAAGAACTCCTGGCTGGCCGAGCGGCTGGGCGGCCGGCTCTTCAGCATCATCTTCAAGTACGAGGTCCCGGCACAGTGAGGCCCTCGGCCTGCCCGACGGTTCTGCCTGTCGCTCGTCACCCGTCGGGATGTGTCGCGACTGCACCAAGGAAACACGTTCGAAATCATATTTATATCGTGCTTCTGTGACTCGGAGCCGGCGCGCCCCGGTGTGGGCTCGGGCATTGGGCTCATGGAAGGGAGACAGCTTGTCCCGTGGGATGTCGCGTTGGCATATATTTAACTGTTAAATAATCTTTTATATGTATATATAAATATATACTCTATCTGACGGACACGAGGCTCGAGGCGCGCACCAAATAGAGTTCCTAGAGAGACCAGAGCCGACTCTGCCTTGCTATTTCGTTACCCGGGAGCTGATCCCCCACCCTCACCCCCTCCATCCCCCTGGGGAAGCTGAGAGTGGGGTCTTTTTCTATAGTTACTTCTAGAACCTATGGCCATGGCCTCTGCCTGGCGCGTGGCTTCCTGCATCCCTGGCCCTCCCTGCGCACGGGAGGGACAGGGGGAACCGAGCAGCACTCTGGACTTAAGAGCCGCTGAGTGGACACAGCGGTTTCGAGGGCCCTCAAGGGCTCTCAGGTTGATGGCAGATGCACTCCTGCCCAGCGCTGATCAGACCACGTGGATTTTGTGCCCGTGGCCTGGTCCTGGGAGAGCTGCCAGGTGGCGGGGGCCCACGATTCCCAGACTCCACCCCGTTAGACGTGTCCCTGGGAGAGCCATATCACTGCAGCTGCAAGGCCACCTGTCTGTCCGTGTGCCGGACAGAGAAGGCTGAGTGTGCCGCTTGTTCCTTAGGAATGTGGGACCCTCTGCCCAGATCAGCTGGTCGGGGCCCCTGCCACTGTGGCCTTGGGAACAGGGCTGCACTTGGCACGGCAGGGCAGCCCCTGGCCCAGACCCGCTAAGCTGTGCTGGCGCCCCCGGCCCCCGGCCCCCCGCTCTGGAGAACCCAAATGCCAGGGCTGGGGCGGACGTGAGGGAAGCCCACCTAGCCATCGCCACGGACCTGAGCATGTTTACCTTTCTCCCGCCCTTTGCTTTTCACTAAGACCCCCACACAGTCGCTGTCCTGCTGCCACGGAAGCCCAGTGCCCTGGGCCTGTCCAGGTGGCTTTGCTCAGCCATCTAGGACGTGCACTGGCCCCAGGTTGAGCCCCGTCCTCCTCACTGCCCCTGCCTTCCATGCTCTGACCAGTGTGGGGCTCTGACCAGTGCTGCAGCACACCAGCTCCCCTCCCGCTGACCCACGTATTGTGCCCCCACTCCATCGCACCCTGAGCCCTGCCTGCAGGCGGCACCCACACCCATGGACCCCAAGGCAGCTGCTCAGGCGTCAGCCAGGACCTGGCCCTGTCAGGCGGCCACCAGGGGGCAGCAGGGGCCACAGCCAGCTAGAGGGCCCAGGCCAGACCTGCCCGGCGTGCAGCCTCCTCCAGGGTGGACCTCCATTTCTCACGAGAAGGCGTCAGTCCCCGACTCGGGGCTCAGACCCCCAGGCCGAGCTGCCTTCCTGCCTCCCTGCCCGGCAGTCAGGACCCCCACCCCTTCACCACACCTGAGACTAGGAGCCTGGAAAGGCCCAGCGGGGTTGGGCCATGGCACCCCTGATACATGCTCCCAGACCTGAGGAGAAAGGGGGGCTCGCCAGGTTCCCAGGAACATGGTGGGTCCTGGGAGGGGACTGGGCCAGCAGACACCCCTCATCCCGGCCTTTGCTGAGTTTGGGTCAGTGGCCAACCGGCCCTGGCACAGACCCCTAGTGGCCCAGCCAGCACCACGCCTTCTCCGGGGAAGGGGCGAGCAGTCCTGGAGTTGTGTTGCGATTTTGGGGTGGAGCAGTAAGTGGGGGATCCCTGCCCAGGGCCAAGGTCCGCCCCCAAGAGAGGGCAGGGGATGTGTGCGCCGGGTTTGTGTTCCCACCCTGGGGAGCCCTCCATGAGCAGAGGTCAGGGCGCTTCCTCTGGGCCTGCACAGACTGGCAGCACCTAGTACGAGGCCGCAGCGGAGACGGGCGAGCTGGGGGCCCCATGGGCGGCCCCACGTGCAGCAGGCGTAAACGTGTTTATTGGAATGTTCAGGGCTTTACAAAGAGTTTAAAATGTCCCATACAGAGCAAAAGAAGCCAATCGCAGCCGGGGCGGCTTGGGGCACACGGCAGGGCCAGCAGATGTGCCCCACGGACCCACGCAGCTAAGGACCAGGGGAACAACGTGGGGAAGGACTCGGCACCATTTTAATGTAGTAGAAACTTTGTCTCTAAAAATTTAAATACCTCTCTATGTATATATCTTCAAACATTGTGAACACTGCCCAGCTCCAGGGGCGGGCTGGGCTCCCTTCCTCCCTAGGAGGAGGGGCAGGAGTGCCAAGGGGCACACAGCTTTGGGGACGAGCATGCTCTGTGTCCTGAGCTAACAATGGACCCCGCCAGCCGCTGGGCAGCTGCAGCCCACCTCTGGGGCTCGGTCAGAGTCTGAGCAGGAGGCTGGCGGCACTCTTGGAAGGGGCCGGCGCATCCCCAAAGCCCTCTTGGCCCACGGAGCAGGCGCCTTCGGGGGTCCCCCGTTCTTCCTCCGGGGGTCCCCTCGGGCCCTGCAGCCGCTGCTGCCGCTCCTGGGCCTGCCGGGCCCGGCTGGCAATAGCACGCACGCGGCTCTGGCTGCGAGAGGAGGAGCGCCTCAAAAAGCCCGTGCCCCCTGCCGCCCATTCCCCGGAGGGGCCCAGGCTGGTGGGCGACGTGATGTCTCCGGCCTGCTGGAACCCCGTGAGCCAGCGCAGCTGCTCCGTCAGGGGGTCCCGCCGAGGGCCCCGGCCCGTCGGCCCCTCCCCAGCAGGGCCCAGGCTGCGGCCCAGGCGTCTGCCCAGGCTCTCAACTCGGGGGGCGAAGTCCTCGGCAGTCAGGTCCCCCAGGCTCTTGGACTTGGTGGCCATGGGGCAGTCCTGGAGTCCTTCCAGCGGGAGGCAGCCCCAGGGTGGCCGAGGGGCTAGGTGGCGGGGCCGAATCTCATCGGGGGCTGCAGGTAACTGCCCTGCAGCCCGCAGGTTGGGGTTAGATTTGCTCTTGGTCACAGAAGCCGAGCAGGGCCTCAGGGGCAGGCGTCCAGCTAGGGCCCCCGAGAGGCTGTCACGGCCCAGGCCCAGGCCCAGGCCCGGCAGCGAGAGGTCAATGACTGTATCGCTGGATGACAGGCTAGAGGACGAGGACACGCTGTCACCATGGCTGCCTGGCTCCAGCCGCTGCCACAGCCTGTCTCCGCCTGTGGCGTCCAAGTACATGGCAGCTGAGGGCCCGGCCAGGGGCCGTCGTCCACCCAGCGGCTCTGAAGGCACCTGCCCCTCACTCTTGGCCCTTCTGACCATGGGGAGATGGCCCAGGGCTTGGGGACGGCCCCTGCTGTCAGTCTGGCTGCTGGGGGCCCCATCGCATGCCCCACCAGGTTCCCCTCCATTGCACGCCCGCTGCCTGCTATCGGGGGCCAGTTCAGTGTCCCCATGGTGGCTCCTGGTCCTGAGATGCAGGGGCATGGAGGTGCCCCGAGCTGCTCCTGGAGGGCTCCCGGCGTTGGCGCTGGGTCCTGCCGAGCACTGCGGCCCTCCCAGGATGGGGCCGGGCGGGGCAGCCTGCTGAGGGGTGGGGCCCAGGCCCACGGCTGGCTCCTCTGCAATGGTTTCCAGGCTGCACAGGGGGGAGACCGACCTCTGCATGGAGAAGGGGCAGGTGTCTGTTGGGGAAAGGGAGTGGGGTGTGTCAGGGCGCGGCCCCATGGCCCGTGGCCACAGGACCCCCAGCGGCCAGGCCCCCATGCGCACACAGCTGCCCCGTGCCCTGCTCTTGGGTTCCACTGCTGCTTTGCCCACAGACGGGGCCCACGAGGGCCGACAGGACAGGCTTGGGTCTTCCTGGGGCTGGGGGCAGCAGAGGGCACACGGGGGGCCGGGCCCCGTTACCTGGCACTTGGCCGTTCTCAGTTCCTAACTATGGAGGCAGCATGGGGACAGAAAGAACAGGGTGATCAGCATGGGGGTGGGGCTGGCAGATGGACAGACAGATAGCAAGGCTGGATGGGGTGCAGGGAGGGGAGCAGGGGCACTGGGGCTTCTGGAGTGGGGCTGCGCAGTGCAGTTCAGGCCATAAATGAATCCCCAGGGCCAGGGGTGCTTTGCAGACTCTAAGGCCCCAACATCAAGGCTCCGAGCACCTTCCAGGAGTCTGGGGGAATCAGGGATACCCTTCAGTGAGCCACCGGCCACAGCTGACTTCCTGGAGGACTGCAGTGCAGGGCCAGGAGCGGGGACGCCTGTAGCCTGGCACTGGAGGGAGGCCAGGATGGGGCTGGCCGCTGTCCCCCACCCCTGGGTCCTAGGAAGGGAGTTAGGAGCAGCTGGGCCAGGCTGGGGAAGTCGGTCCGGCGGGGGCACCGGGCGGGTTTCTGGGCTGCCGGCCTCAGGGAGCATGGCCTGGCTTCAGTCCCCTAACCCTCCCCGGTGACACGCTCCAGGGTAAAGCCTTCTCTCACTTCTAAAGGCAAGAGGCCCGGACGGGGGTCAGTCGGGAACAAGGGGCCGGGGGCCCGAGGGGCAAGCCAGCAGAGCGAGGGAAAGTGCAGGTGACGAGCACGTGGGGAGGCCGTTCTGGGCACAGAAGCGCAGCGGGGACGCCTGGCCAGGCCATGCTGAGGGGTAGGGACAACGCGGGACATGGGGAGGAGCGGCTGGTCTTACCGGTGGAGAACATGGGGGATTTACTCCTAATCTCCTCCAGCTTTTGAAGGAACAAGGCATTCATCTCCCTCTGCAGGGCCCCCGCCTGCCTGTGGGTGCCCTCGGGCCAGCGGGGGGCCACCTCAGGGCTGCCCGGGCTGCTGGAGTCCGAAGGCACGGAGCCACTGCCGCCTGGACCCTGCCGCTGGGCCCTGGGGCCCTTAGGGGCCCCTCTGCTTCGCCCCAGGGTGGACCCAGGGGCCCTCAGCAAGTCCGCCTGGGCGCGGGGCTGCTGGCTGATGGCCTCCTGCCCACCCTGGGGCCCCGGGCTGGGCGGCTGCCCCCACTGCAGGTGCTCGGTGTCCTGGCCGGCGCAGGAGCCCACCACACACTTCATGCAGGCGGCAGCCATCCTGGCAGGCCCAGGGCCCTCGGGGGCACATGGGCGCCGCCCCTGTGAAGGGCTCCTCTCCGCCGGCACCTTACCTCGGGGGCTGCAGCCTCCAGGCTCCTCCCAGGCCAGGGCCTCCGGAGCGGGGCCGGGGCTGGGGGGTGCCACGTCGCTGGCCTCCCCTTCGGAGCCCGCGTCCTGCGTGCCCAGGGCCAGCTCCGGGAAGGCCTTGGCGCTGGGCTTCTGGCTCTTGGTCGGGGCGCTGGCTGTGCGCCTCAGGAGCCTCTGGCTAACAGAGGGCCGGGGCAGGGGCCGCCCAGCAGCATGACTGTCCAGAGAGCCGGGCTTTGGGCCTCGGAGGAACAGGCCTTTTAGGCCGAGAGCCTGCTTGACCTGCAAGAGAAGGAGACCACATAGCCGGCAGCCAGGCACCGGGGCCAGAGACCGCTTAGCCCAGTCCAGCTGCACTGTGGCCAGCGGTGGCCTAGCTGAGCCCAGTGCAACCCGAGGGGTCAGCTAGTTGAGGGCACCAGCGGGCATGTCGGGACTGTGTAGGGAGGAGAGTCTCCAAGGCACCCTACCAGGGACCGTGACGGCTACGGCCTCAACACTGACCAGGAGCGCGTCCTGCCTGCAGGGGTGGCACGAGCAAGTGCTAGAGGGTCTTCAGGTCTCAAGGCCGACAAGCCCCCCAGGGCTCTCCCAAGCAGAGACCTTGGAACCTGGACCCTGTGCCAGCACACCATGCACCTGTCACAGGCCCTGCACCCCCAACTCTGGCAGGTGGTGCTGCAGGGCAGTGCTGGTGTGGAGAGAAGACAGCTGAGAACCAGGTGGAAGCAGGCACCGCCCAGCTCACGTTCGCCTTGCCCCCTGGCACTACAGGCTGAGGAAGCAGCACATCCAGGTGCGGGCGAGGTCTGCTCCCCCATGCCCCTGTCTGGCCCACGCCCCTGGAGGTGCTGCCTCTTCCAGGAAGCCTTCCTAGACTCCTGCCAGGCAGTGTTCCCCAGCCTCACCCCGTTCTCTGCTCAGGAAGCCCCAAGGGCAGCTCAGTGACCCTGAACGGCTGCTGGCCCGGGGCCTTCCTGGACAGCCGGGCCCAGGAGGCCCCTGCAAGGCCTCCCCCCGGCAGCCTCCTTGCCTGCGGAGGGCAGCTAGGGGTCCCTGGGACCAGTTGGCAAGTGCCTAGGTCAAGACCAGAGAGTCTGGCCGCTGCATAACTAGTGCGCAGAGACCGAAAGGGTCCTCACATGCAGAGACCCTGACAACAGCCACCACTCCCCAATGACACAGGGCCACTTCTGGGCAGAGGCACCGAAGTGGCCAGTACTTGAATCAGCTTCCCGATTCAAGATCCCAAATGCAGAGCAATTTGGTCAAAGTTGGCTGGAAAGTCATTTAGAAGAAGGTGCAGGATTCCAGCTCAAAGCTCCTGGTCCCTGGGACCGGGCATCGTGGACACAGATGGAGGCAGAGGGGCACATGGAGGAAGGTGCAGGGAGAGCCTTCAGCTAGAGGACAGACACGGGGCCGGGCGGGAGGGTGCATGGGGGCCTGGCCGGAGTCCTGGACCTGCTTCGTAAATGCTGCTCTGTGGCTGAGGATGGCCCGAGGGACCCAGGGTCATGTCACGATCCAAGTCACATGAGCTGACAGGCTCCACAATGCTACCAGGAGTCATGGATGCTAATGGGCCGGCCTGGGCATGCGGGTGCGGTGGCGGGCAAAGCTGCCCAGCACCGGGGGTACCTGAGAGCTCCTACCAGGGCCGTGCTTCTAAGGGTGGACTTGGGACTAGGGAAGTCCACTGCAAGACCAAAGAGAGAGTGAGAGACGTGAGGCTCCGGCAGCCGGGCGCGGAGCCTGTGGACACCGGCAGACACCGGCAGACACACAACAGACAGACGGACGGACGGACGGACGACAGACGACGGAGCGCTGGGAGGCCTGGGGGCACAAGTCCGGCCAGCTTGCCCGTGGAGCATGGCAAGAGAGAGACGGTTAGTGCTGGGACCTGCTCAGGACCCTGCGAGTGCCTGACACAGCGCCGGGACCCCTAGGCCCTACAGGCTGGGGAAATGCAGCCACGACAAATGTGCCGAGGCACCAAGGGGGGTCGTGGGGCAAAGCCAGGCAGATGCCTTTGGAGGAGGAATGGAGAACTGGGGAGTCCTGAGAAGAAGGAAAAGTGGGGAGGCTCAGGAGGGAGATGGGAGTGCAGCCAGGAGGCACTCAGGATGTCCATCCACTGGTGCCGCAGCCACCCGGGGACGCTGTGCCCACCACTCATTTCATAGGTGGAGAAACAGGCCCGGCAAGGTAACCACCAGGCCTCATGGCCCTGGAGTCACTGCTGGGGTGGTGCAGGTGGCCCTGTGGGTGGCACTCACCTTACCACTAATGTCACTGATGGCCACGTGGACAAAGATAGAGGCTTCTTCCATCCCCTCCAGGTACACGTGCCGATAGCCTGAAACAGCCAGTCACAGCTCACCCCCCGGCACCCCACCCGCCCCCCCACACACACTCTACTCCAAGGTCCCAGAGCCTGAATACCAGCCCAGCCCTGGGGGCCCTGCCTCCCCCAGGAAGCCCGCCAGTAATGCCCTGGCCTGCAGGGACCGCTTCCTCTTCCGGGGGGGCACAGGGGGGGTCCGCAGCCTGATCTCTCACCCCCCACCCTGTCGGCAAAATGCCTGTGACTCTGTGCCCCCCTTCTCAGCTCCCTGTGTGCCCCCAGGCCCACCTATGGCAGGAGCCAACTCACGGGAGGAAGCTGAGCCCCACCCTGCCCTGGGTCTCCCAGCTGGCCGGCAGGGACGCTGGCCTGTGTGGGGAACACTGGCCTCTGCAGGGGATGGTGGTCTGTGGGGGACAAGGGCCCAGGGCTCTGCCTTCCCCACCCTGCGAGCCCCCTGCCCACCTGGCATCATGCTGCTGAAGGCCAGTGTCCTCTGGCCGATGAAGTCTCGCCCGATGGGGTCGTGGTCCCAGACAAGGAAGCGCACCAGGGCGATCTCGGGCATGTGCACTGTGAACACCAGCGTCTCCTCCCACATGGGGTTGAATCCTGGAGGCCACCAGGAGGAGGTGTCACCTGCCCAGCTCCAGCCTGGAGGCCACCTGGGCCCATACCCTCTCCTGGCATCTCCTCCTGGGTTGGCTGCCTGGCAGAGGGGAGCAATGCCTGGGGACTGGGTGACCATCACTGGGCTTCCAGCCGAGCAGACAGCTTGGACAGTTACCTGGGTCACAGGAGGTGGCCCTGGCCCCCTTCCATTTCTGGCCAGACTGGCATTGCCAGCATGGCAGTTGGGATGCGGCCCTGGGCACAGGCTGGCACGGGGGTGGCCACGGACATGCCCTCACCGTTGTCGTCCACCACGCGGGTCTGCTCCTTGCAGCAGTCCACGGGGAGCCCAATGACTTCCACCTCCACGAAGGGGTCGATGATCTGTGCAGAGGGCAGGGTGGCACCAGGGCTCGGCTGGCGCACAGCCCCCACCCCCCCCGTCTGTGCCCAACGGCCCACCTACCTCCCCTCGGTCCCCCAGCATCGAGTCCCGGGGCTTAGGGAGCTGCTGCCCACTGATGATCCGAAGCACCAGCTGCTTCTTGAGCTGCGCAGGCAGGGGGTCTTCGGAGTTGGGGTTGAAGATGGCTGAAGGGGGCGGGGCGTGAGGCTGAGTAAAGCAGGGTACACAGCACGCCCACCCCAGCCCCACTTGCTGATTGGAGCCCCAGCCCAGGAGGAGAAAGGGAGGCAGCATTCCAGTGTGGGGACACCAGGCCTGTACGCCGGTCACCTTTGTGCCACCCTGTGAGGGCACAGGTCGTCCCCTTGCATGGGTGAACAAATGGGGCTCAGCACGTGTGTAAGGCCACCCTGCCTCTGGGTGGGCGGGCTGGTGCCTGGGAGCATGGTGGGTGGGGCCGGGTGGCAGGCTCCCTGGTGACAAGGTAGCCAGGGTTTGTGCAGGTGCCACCTCGAGGAGACGAGTGCACAGGACAAGAGGGTGTGGGAAGAGGGTTGGGACCACGTGGGAAGGTGTCAAATCCTTCAGCACACCTGGGTGGGAACGGGAGTGTCTGGGGAGGAGGCGGGGCTCCTACAAAGGACGGGCAGGGCTCCCTAACTCAGCCCCTGCACACCCCTGGCAGAGAAGGGGTCCCTCACTGCGTCCCAGCGTGACCCACTAGGTGGCCCTGCCGAAGCTGCCCGTGCAGCCCTGCGGGAGCCCCACCCGCGCCCCCAGGTCCCCCAGGGCCTCACCGTGGCACATGCATGGGGGCTTGAGCACGTAGCCACAGTTGCCGTTGGCGCTGAACTTGGCCCGGTTCAGTTGCAGCATCCGCCCCTCCGTCTGGTAGTTCAGGGCAACTGCAGACAAGGACGCAGGTGGCCCGGTCAGCGCCTGGCCTGCGTGCTCCCTGCAACGCTGCCCGGCTGCCCGTGAGCCTGGCGTTTGCCTGCGTGAGCAGGGGCCCTGGGGCTCACAGCCGCACATAGGCAGGGCCATGCATTGTCACAGGAAGTCCCCCAGAGCCTGGCCCACCTCAACGCACCCTGGGGACTGAGGGTCCCACCCCAGTGCCAGCCTGGTGAAGTCGGCAGGGTGCCATGCAGGTCCCCAAAGCACAGGAGAGCCAGCCGGGTGCTGTGGAGCACTGGCAGTCCCGCCATGCACGCTGGTGCACCCACCCAGCTGGCAGCCAGCACTCCAGAAGGGCTGTGGGTTGTAGTTGCTCGAGTCCACGCGATAGGAGGACGGGTAGATGCGCGACAGCTGGTGCTGGTTGAAGCGCAGGTACTGCGCCGGCTTCTGCTGCAGGATCTGCTGGGCCCTGGTCTCGCTGAAGGACGACACCTGCCAGCTGGACGCCACTGAGGGCGCAGGCGGCCGGCGTGAGAGGCGCTGCAAGTTGCAGCCAGGCCTTCCTCCCCCTACCCCCCCCCCCCGAGTCCTGGCCGCCCCTCACCCTCCGTGTCCACGTCGTGGGAGCCCACAGACTTGGTGTACTTCACCAGGTCCGACAGGGCCCGTGACAGCTGCATGGTCTTCCTCTGCCGGGTGGCCCTGCAGGAAGGTTGGGAGTGCGGGCGGGACCCGGGGTCAGCAGGCGTCCCCACTCAGGTCAGCCTGGGCACCCTGGTCCGAGAGGCGGGCTCCACGTCCTGCCAGCTTCATTGATTCACAAAGAACATCCACCAAGCGTCCACTTGGCCCCCGTGTTCCAGGCGCCGGGACGTGCCGTGAACACGCAGTGGACGCGCTGACAGGTGACGCTGGGGGAGGGCACGAGCCGAGCCCACCGGAGAACGCCTCTGACAGTGATGGGCGCTTCGGGAACAAGGCCAGGGAACCGCCGTGGCCAGGCCGGTCCCCCCCCCCCCCGCCCCAGCTCCCGCATGGCCTGCACAGCTGACTCCCACTGTTGCCAGGACAACGGCCCGAGTTCCCACTGCCACTGTCTGCGGCGGGGCAGGCACTGACCCCCGGCCCTGGCTGCCATGCGAGTCCAGGTCGTCGTCCGCCTCTTCCACGCTGGCCACCTTCTTCAGCTTGCTGCTCTTTTTCTGTGAGAGGAGGACAGTGTCAGGAGCTGTGGAGCCCCGGGTGCGGCCAGGCCACCTGCAGAGGCTGGGCGGGTGCGGGAGGCGGGGCTGCGGTCCGGGGATCTTGGCGCCCACGCTGCCTGGCCGGGCCTGCCCCGTCCTCTGCAGGGCCCTGTTCAGCCGGGCCCCAGGTGACCTGAGCTCAGGGCACTGGCCAGTGTGGGTCAGGGAGGGCCACTGAGGCACCTGCTCCATCCAGCCCCGATCAGGGCTCCGGACCCCAGCACCTGCAGCCGGACGATGCAGCCAGGAACTCGAAGGGGGTTCTGGGGGCTGGAGGAGACCCCCACTCTGGCTGGCACAGGGACAGAGGGGCAGGTGGGGGCAGGCAGGACCTTGCGCTTGGAGAAGCTGCCCACGAGGACCCTGTTGTTCCGTCTGCTGGCCCCGGCGTCCTCCCTGGACTCCTTGTCCTCCTCAGCCTAGGAGGAGGGACAGACAGAGGGGACAGGGTGAGCCCAGCATCACACTGGGTGGGGTGGGGGCAGGCAGCTCCTCCAGGTAGCCCAGGTGGCCTTCCTGGAAGAGAGAAACCTGAGCGGGGCCGGGTGGGCTGGCTGCCCCAGGCCTCGTGGGAGGGAGGCACCGTCCCCAGCCCACCCGGGGCACGGAGGTAGCAGAGGCCCGAGAAGAACAAGGGAGGGCCCTGGTGGATGGCCCCTCACCTGCATCAGCAACTTGACATGTGTTGCTTTAAACTCATTAGGTTCCCAGTTCTGGGTTTTTTCCCACTGATGGCGACTACTAATCAATGCCTTCTGTGTCTGGAATATTCCCCAGCCGAGCCTGTTTATGTAACCCTTTTATGAGAACCCTGCAGCTCTGATGTGCTGGCCTGTTTCTTGCAGCAGCAAAGGTTTTCCCTAATTAGACAGATAACAGGGGCTGCGCTCCCCACAGCGGCGGGCTGTTTCCGGTTCCCTCTCACGCTGTGGTGAATCCCTGACCACACAGGACTGAGCCTTCCACGTGTATAGAACGTGCATGGCCAGGGCTGTCCTCCCTGCCCGAGGGGCCACCCGGCCGGCTGCTGGCAGCACCGTGGCCCATTCCCCTGTGGGTCCGAGGCACGAACCTCTCACCCTCTTGAAGCTCATTCACACGCGTGGAGCTGCCGGGAGCCTGTGCCAGCGTCCCTGAGCCCGCTGCAGCCACCATCAGCCCCAGGCCCCTCCACAGATGCCCCCGAAACCCACCCAGTTCTGCTCAGGATATGCAGGGCCCCCTCCCCACGACTTGTCTCCATCCAGGGTGGGGCTGGCTTTGTCAGGCTTGCAGGAGCCGTGCACCTGTGGCCAAGGGTTCATGTTAAAGTGGCTTCAGCCAGAGACAGTCACGTTGCGCACACGCCTGCACACACTCACACACGTGCCCCGAATGTGCCCGTGTGCCATCTGCACATGTGTCCCTGTGGGACACACACCAGACCCCAAAGAACGCTCCAGCCTGGCTCACCAGCCCCTCACGCGGGAAGGAGGTGAGCAAGACCCTAGTCCCCTGGAAGAGGTGGCTTGGAACTCAGGCTAGGGGTGGGACGCGCCGCCCGCTCCCCTCGCCCACAGGGTCACGTCTTAGGAAGGGGAGCGTTGGGAGACATGGCCTGGCAGTGTCTGGAAGCTCCTGTCCACCACCGACCTCCAGCCGCTGCCCTTCCCCTGCCCACTCCTGCCCTGGCGAGCAGCTTGGCCACCCCTGCACCCGCCCCCCTTTGCCCTCTTGGGGGTCAGCAGGGGTGCCTCACAGGCACTCAGACCGGCTGAGCCCCAAATGCCTTTCGGGCTGTCTCTCTCTCCGGCCCGGCAGCCCCAGCCTCTCCCCTCCCTGTTTACTGAGGACCCGCCGTGCTGGCGGAGTCTGGGAGCCCTGTTTGTGGTGTTCAGAGCCAGATGAAGCCAACACACTCGCAGCTCTTTACACATTGCCCGAAAGCCACACACAAGCACCTAGGAACCTGGGCCCAACCAAAAAGGGGTGTGTGCTGCCCCAGCATCCTGGAGAAGCGACCAGAATCTGCTGTCGCCCCTGTGCCCTGAACTCGGCAGACGAGACAGCACTGGCCTCGTGCGGTTATGGGCAGCAGGGCTGTGGGCAGTGGAGGACCCACACTGGCCCCTCCAACCCCGGGACACAGCCCAGGGCTGCCGGAGAGCTCAGCGGGGCCAGGCGGCCTGGACGGCAGAGAGGAGCACCCACACCTCAGGCAGGACACAGGCTACAGGCCCAGGCCCAGCAGGCCCCTCCTGACGAGAAAGTCCAGAGCTGGCCACGCGGGGGGTTGGGTCCCCTGCAAAGAACCAGGCCTGTCCCTGGGAGTTGTGCCCAGCACACAGGGGGCCCCTTCCTTGCCCATCTGCTGCACCCGTCGCAGCTGCCCCCGCCCACAGGGGCCCTCGCTTGGACCCAGGGGCCTCCACGGCCGCCAGCCCTCCAGCAGACAGGGCAGGCGGGCACGCCAGCGGAGTGTCCATGACCCCACTGGCCCAGATGCTCCCCTCTCCTGGGCCCTCTCAGAGAGCTCTGTGGCTGTACCTGGCCATCCGGCCCCCCTCCAAGCCCCCACACCTGGCAGCTCAGCTCAAGGGCCTCTCCTGCATCCACCTCCAAGAAGCCTTCCCTGAGTGCTGACACGCCCCCGCCCCTGCCCCAAGCAGATAGCTGCTCGGACGCGAGGTCCCAGGGCCAGGCTGACGGAAACAGGGACTCCCCACGGACTCTGCCTAGCTGGAGAGAGCCACGCCGGGCGCCCGCCCACCCGCCCACGGGAGCCTCAGGCACTCTGTTTTCTCCACCTAGACGTTTGGAGACTGAAAATAAACGACCACGTGTTGGCAAGGAACCTGCAGGAGCCACCAGCATGGAACGATCCTCAAGTATACGCTGGTGCCAGCTGCACCTAGCACCCTGTGGGTGGGGCACACACACCTGCATCTAAATTTCCTGTGGGGGGCCCAGCCCCCTCGCCCATGCCAGGGAGGAGCTGCCTTCTCTCCCCCACCCCCAGGACTCAGACGGTGGTGAGGTCTGACAGGGTGGGCAGGGCTCTCCAAAATCAGAGAGCCGCTGTCCATACCACCCACCTGAGCCCTGCTCACCTGCGAAATGGGGCCTGCAGGGCCAACCGGTGCCCTACCTGCCCCCGAGGCCAGCTGCCTGCCCACCACAGCCCCTGAGGCATCACTAGTGCTCAGGCCACTTGGGAAGAGGCCTGTCCTTCCAGGTTTGCTGACCCTTCCAGGAGGGACCCCAATTGCTCAGCCTTGCTGACCCAGCCTGGCATCCCCCACACTTGATGTCTTCCATGACAGCCCCGCCCCTGTTCTGTCCACGGGGGCACTTCCCAGAGCTCCTCACAAGGCTGAGGGGGGCTCTGGGCAGCTCCCCAGGATTGGCTTGGCTCTGGGACCCTGTGTACCCCTCCCTGTCACTCAGGAGACCCCTCAGTAGGGGGAGCTACCTCCAGCCCTCCCCTCCCCCCCACCGGCAATGCTCAAATCCTCTTCCACAGAGAGCTGCAGCTGCGGGGTAGGGAGGCAGGCCCCAGGCCATGATTGCTAGCCACACCACAGCAGACACACATGGGGCAAATCACCGTCCCCCGTGACACGGTGAAGGCTGTGGGTCCCATGCAGCTGTGTGCAGGTGTGCGTGTGTGACAGGTTTCTGTGTGTGAGTGTGCAGGTATGTGTACAGGTAGGTGTGCAAGTGTGTGCGCATGGTAAGCATGCAGGTGTGCACAGGTGTGTGCACAGGTTTGTGTGTACAGGTGTGCACATGTGCATGGGTTTGTGTGTGGGCATCTGCACATGTGGGTGTATGTGTGCACACATGCACCCACATGTGCACAGACCACAGGCTCTGGGCCCATTCCCTGGTCGCAGGCTGACCCCATAGTCCACAGGTGCTCACCGTTCTGCCCTCGGCCTTGTGCCCAGGTCTCCCCAACGTGGACACAGTGAAGTCGTTGGGGTCCTCGCAGTCTCGAATCTTTGACTCCTTGATTAGGGAATCCAGTTTCCTCTTGGCGATGTTTTCCACGTGCTTCCGATTGGTGGAGGCCTGCAACAGCCGGCCAACCAGGCCTAGCTTCAGACCTCAGCAACAGTGATGACGAACCCCAGGGTCTCGGGCAGGACCACAGGGCCTGCTGGGAGCTGGGCCAGTCTGGGTCTGTCACGCAGGTGCTGGCCGCACCCTCACGCCACATCACAGGGCTTTTCCTCGTACCCACCCTGCCCACTCCCGTGGCGCTCAGCAGGCGTGAGCTAGCCCCGGGGCTGCAGACAGCGTGAGCAGGCCTGCACTCAGGCTCAAACGCTGATTCTAACGCTGCCGACTTCAGCTGCAGGACGCTGCCCATGGGGACCTACAATAGTTGACTGCCAGGCCTCCGGGGAGGAGGTGAGTGCCCCCGGCAGCCGCCCTGCCTTCTGAGAGCTGCTCGCTCAGAGGCTCAGGGCCTGGGATCCCTGCAGTTGCCTTAAAGAGACGGGCGGGGAGGTGAGGACAGGCTGGCCGGCTGGCCGTTGCCAGGGGCTGGTTAGCATAGCCTCCAGGCGCCCTCCCTGCCCGGGGCTGCCCCCAGGATGGCCCTGATGATCATGGACCCTGCCAGGGGGACGTCTGAATGCCCTGGGCTCAGTTGGAGTGACAAGGTAGACCTCACTGCCCTGGGCCACCATCACCTCGGGCAAGCCCAGGGCCCACCTCAAAGCAGGAGAACCCCGCTGCCTCAGGGCTTTCTAAAACAATTAGCCAGGGAGGCAGGGAGCTCCTGCACAATTATCTTCCCGTCTGACGCCCCAGGGGAGAAATGATGCCTTTCTGGCCTCCAAGGAGCAGCAGCTCGAGCAGAGACGGTAATTACAGAGGCCCAGGGCCCCACCGGGGAAGCCCTCCCTAACTCCTCAGGACCCCCTACAGCCCCCCGAGCGCTGGCGCTCTGCAAGCAGGATGACAAAGCTGCAATGATGCGAGGACAGCACTGTGGGGGTGTCGGCCTGGGACCCCCCAGCAGCCCAGGCTGGCTCCGGGCTGGCACCAGTTGGAGGTGGGGCTGGTGCTGGGCTTGACGACGGCTGGGCAGGACCACTAGCCACCCAGCGGGGCGCTGAGGCTGGCCGGGGAGAGGCCAGGAAGGGGGGTATCCCAGGCCAGAGCCCAGGCAGGTGCATGTGTGGGACCCAGGGAAGGCCCCTTTCCCCAGCGCTGCCCCCACTTGCTGAGGGAGCCAGAGGAGTGGGCAGGCTGAGCGAACAGAGCCCCAAGAGTTGGCTCAGAAGTGGGCGCCAAGACAGATCACCCGTGCGTGTGCGGCCAGCAGCACCAGAGGGTCAGCCCGCTGGCTGGGAACTCAGGGTTCATGTCTCATGGGGGGAGGGGGCAGCAGGGTGGGCCCCAGTGGCATCAGGCCAAGTGCAGCTCGGTGGCGTAGCGAGCTGCCAAGCCGTTTTCCTGGCCGCCCCGCCGACGGCCCCACTCACATCCCCGTTGAGCAGCTTGCAGTCCTCATCCATCTCGTCTGCGCTGTCCTCGTCGGAAACCTCGCCCGCCTCTGCGTCATCGCTGATGTTGGCTGGGAGCTTTTTGCCCTGGGGGGAGGCAGACCATGGGAGGGGCCCTGCGGGCAGGCTGGGTGGCCGTACCCACGGGAGGCGCCACAGCAGAGGGAGGGCCTTTCTCAGGTTCATTGTGTCTCAGGCCAGCCCCACACCTCCTCGCTACAGACGCTTGAAAGGGAAACGCTGGGGAGTGCATGTGGAGGTCCCCCGACTGAGTGGCCACCATGGAGAGACTGAGGCCAGGTCAGGGGCAGGGCCTCCCCCGAGCCCTCAGATCTGCCACTGACGGCACGGAGCCCCAGTGGAGCAGGGCCCTGCCCTGGCCTGGCCCCAGGCCACAGGCCCATCGGGACGCTGGCCCAGGAGGGCAGGCAGGGCTCACTTTCACCAGGATCTTGCCCTTGAGCATCTGCGGGGAGGGCAGCTGGGTGGCGTCCTCACTGCTCACTGACGATAAGTCCAGCTTGTCCCCGAGAATGTCGGTCAGATACTGGGCCATCTTCTGCTGCTGCACGACACTGCAGTGGTTCTCGATGGACAGGATCACTGGGTACCTGTGGCCCCAAGGTGGGAAGAGCAGGGTGAGGCCAGGGGAAGACCCCAGGTCACCTACACCGTGAGTGAGAAGAGGTCTCCACCAGGAGCCCAGGCTAGATGGGGCTGCCAGCCACGCGGAAGGGGGCCCATCAATGGCTTTGAAAAACAACTTAGTGGGTGGGAAAGGAGCTGGCAGATCTCAGGGACAGGTAAGGGAGATATGCACTTCTTTCTTCAATAAGAAAATCAAAAGCAATTAGAAACTCCAAAAAAACAAAAGGAAACATTCAAATAAGTCAGCAAGTCACAGTTCATAAGTGATGTGGACTAAACTGGGGTGCGATGTGGAGCAATTGGTGCACTGTGAGAAAGGTAACCCCACCGACCTAGCTACTAGAGACCCTGTCCTGTGGGTGGCCCTGGGGTCCCCACAATGGAGGAGGCAGCCGATACACACCATCTGGAGGAAGGTCAGCAGTGCCGGCGTATTGTGGGAAGGGCTTTTGCTATGAGTTCTTCAGTTGTTTGATTGTTTTTAACCATATGCACATTTTACTTGGATTTTTTGACAAAAGGCAACGTGATGCTTTCAGAAAATGTAGATCCCCCAGACCTAGAGGATGTGGACCAGAACACAGACAGGGCAAGTCCTAGGATGTTGAGACGGCAAGCTGGACTCGGGCCAAGGAACTCATCATCGCCCCATTTCTCAGGCTATGCAGCCGTGACGTGTACACCCTGTTAGACCCCAGCAGGCACCTGCCTTCTTGGCAGCTGGGGGCTGTGAGTCCCAGCCCTGTCCCCAGATGCCCCTCACCTGCCACCCCAGGGGCTAGGCTGCTCTGCAGAGACTGCTCACCCCCACTTCCTCCCTGCAGCCAAGACAGAGCCAGCTCTTTTGGGAGGGGCCACTCTGCTTCTAGTTCCTAAATCAGTCTTGCTTTTCCTCCCCTCCTTCGTTAATTAGCTCCCTCCTTGCCTGCGAGCTGCGAGCCTTGAGCCTCCTATAGCCAAGACTGAGGGTAACCATAACGGTTCGGGGAGGCGGTCTTCTATTTCCGGAAACAAAATTGGATTTTGTTCAACAGTGTAGCCACCGTTGAGTGACAGCAAATTGAGTTTGGACACAGTCGCTTCTTGGGTGTAATTAGTGTCGGAGCCACCGCTGCTGTGGGCAGCTGACACCAGGGTTGCCACCAAGTGTGTGTGGTAGGACTGCTTGCACACAAGCCCTGCACAGCCCCATCTGTCACGCTGTCGGCTCCGACGCCCACTGCCCTCTCTCTCCCGGGAGCTGGGCTCCCCTTCCTCTTTGCCCCCATCCTCAACGAGAGACCCCAAAACCAGCCCCCTGGCACTCCAACCACTGCCGCGAGGAAGGGCTGGGGGAGAGCGGGAAGAGCCCCTTGAGCCAGTCCCCTGCCCCCGTCCCCAGGCCTGGCCGCCCAGGCGCCACCACTCACTCATTCTTGATGAAGGCGTATTTGTTGATGGTTTCAATGACGTCTTTGAAGAGGATCTTGGAGGTCAGAGTGTAGCCATGGTGCACGATGGGCTCCCCGTCAGGCCCGTCCCAGCAGTCCACTGTGGGCAGGCAGACCTCGGTCAGCTCCAGGGGCTGGCCACCCACGCCAGAGACCCACAGCGCCTGGACCCAAAGGAGGGGTCTTCCTGCCCAGTGACTAACATCTGGAGAGGCCTTCCCCAGCCGCTGCCTGGGCAGAGGGCAGAGACCCCATGGGCTCCTTGGGGCCATCCCCCACCTAGGAGACGCCAGCCCATGACCCAGGCCCAGACCCCCTGGTCCCATAACCCAGCCCATGACCCGCCAGGTCCCGGGGCCCCCCCACTCACCCTCCACACAGCGGCAGCCAGCCTGCAGGACCCAGGCGTACATGTCCACCCGTGACTGGGACATGAGCTGATCGCCCACGAGGTAGGTGTTGTGGGACGAGGCGATGAAGTAGTGGGTCAGCGGCTGCGTCATGTCCTGATGCACGCCGTGGTGCTCCGGGTTGAAGATGTCCCCGGTGGGGCTCCGAGCATAGTTAGTGAAGCCTATGGGGGCACGGTGTGGGCGGGGCTCAGCCCTGCGTGCGCCCCCGGCCCGCCCACCCCCAGCCCATCTCAGGACATGAGCGACTGCTCACGCCGCCCGTCTAGGCCCACAGGCTGCCCGTGAGCACCCCCGCCGGCCTCCGAGGACACCCACTGGCCACTCACCGTCAATGCCCAGCATCCCTTTACTCCTGTTTTCGGGGCAGGGCTCAAACTGCTCGATAATGTTCTGGCAGCTCTCGAGCGTCACGCCCATCATCTAGCCAGACAAGGGGCGTGAGCCCAGGCCAGCCCGTCGCCAGCCCTGGCCAGCCTCAGGCAGCTCCCCACCCCCGACGGCCACAGCCTCCAGCCGTGCCTTGGACGCTGTGTCAGCACGCTGACCAAAGTGGGGCTGAGGCTCTGGCCCCTGCAGTGTGCTTGCCCCGCCTCCAGTGCCACATGACTTGGGACTCAGTGGCCAGCGGACTACAGGTGGGTCCCATGGCTCTGGAAGAGCTGGCTGTAAGGACCCTTGAGGCAGGGGAGGGGGCCTTTGGCCTCCTCAGTGGGGCCACCCCCCCTCATTGCCATGTTAGGGGTCCTGAGAGCTGTGGGCCTGGCAGAGAGCACGGGCCCTGTGTGAGAAGGTGAGCCAGGACCCAGAGCCCACCTTGGAGGAGCCCGAGGCGGGGCCACAGGGAGCCGCCTCTTCACCTGGCCCCTCCTGCGGCCTCCCCAAGTCCTTCACAGGAAAGCTGCCCACTGCAGCCAAGCCCGAAGCGGCCCCGGAGTCGGGAGCTGCATGGTCTTCCAGGGCCCTGGGGTGCAGCCCAGGCCAAAAGCCCCCGGTTCTCGGTGGCAGGGCCACCAGTGGGGCTTCCGGGAAGTCCCCAGGAATGTGGGGGGTGGATACAGGTGGTAGAGGGGAAGGGGACAAACGGGTTCCGAGCTCATAGCAGCTGTAGACCTTGGGAGGCCTGGGGCCTGGGCTCAAACCACCCACGGAGAGGACAGTTTGGGCCCCAGGCTGAGTTTAGAAGAGCTCTGGAAGGCTTGGGGCAAAGCTCAGGGAGCAAAGGGTGGGTTCTGCCCGCCCTCTGCCCGCCCTCTGCCCCCACACACACAGGCAGCTGGGACAGAGGACCCCAGCCTCGTTCCAACGCTGCCCACAGTGGCCGGGCTGAGAGCAAGTTGCCCAGGGCAGCAGGACCCAGCCAGGCTGGTGCCAGCCTCTCCCGCCTGGGCAAGACCCAGTGCTCCCGCCAGCAGCATAGCGAGAAGACAGACAGGCAGCCACTGGGACAGAGCCCCAACAAGCTGTGCCAGCACTGAGAAGGGGAGCCGGGAGCACAGCCAGGGGCAGCTCCCTCAGCCTCACCCTGGGTTTGGGGCAGCCTCACGGGGCAGGGTAGGACCAACCAGGGACAGCAGTGGTGGGAGGTCACGGGCAAACACTACGGCCAGGACCCGGCAGCCGCTCCGCCGGCTATTCCCACCCCCAGGGCTCTGCCCTGCCCAGTGGCGGTTCTGTGACCATCACCGCGAGGCTGATGGACGGCAGGCACACAAGGTGGGGGGTGGAGGGCCCTGAGCCAGGGTGTTTGGCCCAGGAGTTTTGCCTCTGCCTGCTCTCTGCCTGCTCTCTGCCCAAAAACAGGTTGGTGAGGTCCCAGGACGGTACAGGCCCAGGAACTAGTCCTCACCAGCCGCCTCCCGCCAGCCCTCAGGGTGGGGCCATCCGCTGTCTGAGCCCTCCACGGGAGCACTCACTCCTCGGGGGACGCTGGCTTCCCCTCCCCCACCACAGACTTCCATCCTTGTGCCCACCAGAGCAGGTGGCACCCGGCCGCTGCCCAGGCCTGAGACAAGGCGTCCACACCCTTGGCCTCTGGACACTGGGTCACTAATCATCTGGGCAGTGCCCAGGGAGCACTCGGCTTCTCAGAATGGACAGGATTGTTGGGTTCAAGGGAAACGGGTGGGCATGCCCCACTGGCACCCGGAGGCTCCCGGGCATCTGCTGGACAAATGGTGGCAATGGGCCCGGAGCTCTGGGGGTGAGAGCCAACCAGACCTGGAACAGGTGAGCTGTGGAACCCTAGTCTCACGAGGTGCTCCATGCTGAAGACGGTGCCGTGATTAAGTGTGGGCTCACCTCTGGAAACTTGGGGTGTCTGAGGTCAGGGCTGAGCCCCTCACCGCCTCTTGGAGGAGAAACCACGCGCTTCCCCACCCACTCGGCGGCCTCGTGGGACACACCCTAAAACATGCTGGCGTGGCCTGTGACAGGGACTGAATCAGGTCCAGGAAGTGGAGGTGGGCGTGGGGACCTCGAGTGCCAGGCTGTGCCCACCTTCCCCGAGCTCTCAGCCACACTGTGAACAGACTCCATTGCCCAGGCGCCTGAGATGAGGCCGCACAGGCCGGTTCCCGGCCCTTGGGGGCGCCCTCACCTTCTGCTCCACTTCCAGGAAGCGCTGGAGGTCGCTGGCGTCCAGGGGGCCCTTGTGGTTGCTGTAGGTCAGCATGAGTAAGTACAGGTCCCGCCGGGTGGACATCATCTTGTAGAAGGCGCAGAACTCCTCAAAGCCCAGTGTGCCCTGGTGGTCATCCGTGTCCGCTTCCTGCAACACGAGGCGTCTCGGTCCCGTGTCCCACCCTGAGCTGCACCCTCAAGGGGTCCTCCAGGCCCACCCCCACTCTTCATCACCCCCGAACCACAAATCCACTGCCCATGTCATGGCCTCACAACTGTTTCCCGGTCCCCTCGCAGCACCGTCTGCCCTGAGTTCCCCCGGTGACTCTCCCACCAGCACCACCGAGTGACCCTTTAAACTGATCTGACCCCACCCTCCCCTAGTCCAAGCCTTTCAAGGTTAACCCGGCACAGTCACCCCGCCCTGGGGTAAACACCCCACCCTGGAGTCAGTGCCCACCCTGGGCTGTGAGCCGGTCATTACAATGGCTCCCCATGTTAGAAGCGGGTCCGGTGTCCACAGCCGAGATGAGAGGACCCTGGTCTCAGCCACTGTCTTCCTTTTGCAGATGAGTGGCCCCCACAACACTCCCAGGAGTCCCCGGGGTAAAGTCACCGGGGCCCCACCGAGACCATTGACTCCTCTGTGAACCACTGGCTCAGGGAGCATCTCCTGAGGTGTCAGACCTGGGGACCCCGAGGGCCACAGCACTACTCTGCCTCAAGGAGCCCAAGTCCAGGGACAGACCAGAGGACAAGGGCACCCAGGAACTGGAGGCCGGGCGGCTCAGAGCCTGAAGTCCTATGGGGTGTGGGGTCCTGGGAAGGGGGAAGAACTAGAACCTTAGAAGGTGTTGCTCATGGCCTGATGCTGGAGACATTTCTTTGTCCTGGCGGGGTGCGGGTGGAGGGGGTGTGAGCATGACCTGCCTGGGGACAACTCCAGGCAGCGACAGACACAGGACAGCACCATGGACAGCACTGCTCACCTCCCTGCCGGCCGTCTGGATAGTCTTATGTGGCCACACAGTCTGAGGCAGCCGGAGGTGGGTGCCAGGTCCCTGAGGCCAGCTCTGAACGAGGAGCATCTCCAGAGAGTCAAGTGTCGACAGCCACCCCTGTGTCCCCGTCCCTATTGAGAGTAGGGCTCCCGGGAAAGCTGGGTCCTGACCTGTGCCCTTGGCTGCAGCTTGCCCCTGGCACTGTGGCATGGCAGTGAGGTGGGTGCCCGGTGGGGCCCCAGCGTCTCAGTCCAGAACCTGAGTGCTCATGCTGGGGGCCTGTGCCAAGGCTGGGATGGGGCCAGCTTGGGGTGAGGAGCTCAGCTCAGAGCCACGTGCTGGGGACACACCTGACGTCTGTCGAAGGCCCTGGTGTGCTTGGTGCTAGGTGTGAGGGAAGCTCTGTGTCCGACGCTGGCAGGACAGACAAGCCAGGGTACACAGCGCAGGTCAAAGGGCCCCTTCAGGACAGAGCCAGGCTGGTAGCCCTCCCAGGGGATGTAACTGGAGCTGGGCAGAGATGCCCGTTCTGTTGGGCATCTGGCCCACAGGGCGATCTGGGTTCCCGGGGGCCCTGTACCAGGCAGCACAGCACAACAGAGTACCTGCCTACTTGCTACCCAACTGCTGCCCCTGGCGGTGACTGAGAATGAAGAGACCTAAAAGCGGAGCCAACCCGCCAGCCCCAGAAATGCCTCCAGCAGAGCCGGGCTGGCAGCCAGCCCAGGGTGCTGGGTAGGCAGCGAGGCCTCGCCCATACCCCACTGTCGTCTTAGACTTAATGACATTACGTTCAAGCCACTTTTCGCCCACCACACGTGCCTCTCTGATCAGGCAACTCCAGGGGTGGAAGCAATGCTGACGTTTCTGCACAAGCAAACTGATGCTGACTGTCAACCACTCTGCCTGGCCGAGGTCAGCCTCCCTCCCTGGGTTCCGAGCGCCTGCTGAGGGCGGCTGTGCTGACGGGCAGGGAGCTCCGGGCACTCAGGAACCAGGCTGTCTCCACTGGCCCGCCAGCCAGGGTCTGGGGTCTGTGGTTCCAGGCCAACAGCCCTCGACTCACTTCTCTCCAGAAAGAGCCCAGAGCCCGCCCTGCCTGCCGGACCCAGGCTGCAATGTCTCATCCCACTGCTCAGGGCTTCCTCGGGGTGATCTGCTAGGAGCCTGGACACACCTAGGCCTGAGAGCCCAGTGTTCTTACAAGAGAGGCAAGCAGGGGTGGGCTTCCTAGAGCCCCCGCACGGGGCATCCTCAAGCCAGGACTTTGTGCTGAACCTTCAGGCCCAGGACCCTGTGTGTGCTCACAGCCCATTCCAGGAGGGGCACGTCCTCTCCTCCAGCTTCGGACACCCATCTGGACCCCTCATCACAAGACTCCCTGTCGCCTGGCCCCTGACACAGCCTCACCATTCCAGAAGGGCCTGCCGACCCCAGAGCTACCCAGGAGGCGGGGCAGGCAGGGAACAGGTCGGGGGGCTGATCTGAAGGCCTGAGCCGTCCACCAGCTCCTCACGGCCCAGGCAGGCCCTGTTCCCTCCAGGGCCTTCAGGAGGGGCCCCCTGAGCCCCCCAGTTCTCACCAGCCGTCTGAGAGCAGCCAGCTCACCTCTCCCCATTTACACACAGATCCACGTGCTCTGAGCCAGTCAGCTCTCCTTGCTCCAGCCAAGCGCGACCGCCTGTCTGTCCTGAGAGCCCCGGCAGAACCACTAAGGGCCCCGCCTGGCAGAGCTGTCAGGCTGTGTGAGTACGTGTGGGTGCATGTGTGTGCCTGTGCGTTTCGGGGCGGAGGGACTGGTTCAGGCTCTTGGAACCCTCTTTTCAGGCTGCAGCAAGACCATGAGTCCTAAGGGCTGGGGCTGCCCCCTGCCAGCCCCCACTCCCCTAGCCCCTCCTGAGCTAGAACCTGCTGAGCTGGTGTTCGTGCTCCTGCCCCAGCAGGGGTTCTGAGAAGAGATAAACTAATTACAGACAATAAAGGCCTCCGCTCAGCTGAAGGATGCATTTTCATAACTCCTACCACCAGGGTGGTTGGGGATAGACAGGCTGCGCCGGGCGGGTGAAAAGAGCTGCTGCCCGTGAGAGGGCCAGGGCGGGTGTGCCCCATTAAGGCAGGGCAGTTATGGGGGTGGGAAATGGGGTGCAGCCTCCTTCGGGCAGTTTTCCTCACTGACCCAACGTCTGCCCCCAGTGCCCAGTCCACCAGCACGGGGGCCCCAGGAGCTGCTGCAGGGAGCCCGGCCCAGCTGCCAAGAGGCAGCAACTGTGGCATCCGACCGAGCAGCCCTCCCAGGTCCAGGGCGGCTGGCCACGCTGCGACCCCTGCCATCTGCTGCAGCTCAAATGGCATTGCTGGGGACCTCCTGCGGCCCAGGACACTCCACCCCCTGGCCCATGGAGCCCTCTCTCGGGGTGCTGTCCCTCTGGCCAGAGCCCCGGCCGGACCCCGCCCCCTGCCTCACCTTGAACATCTGTTTCACCCTCTGCCGAGGCAAGTTCACGTTCAGCTTGTGCAGCAGCTGCAGCACCTCACTGATGCTCAGGCTGCCGTCCCCATTCTTGTCGGCCTCGTCAAACGTCTGCTTCAGCCACTTTGGGGCCGAGTTAGGGGCCACCACGCGTCCAGCAGGGCCAGCAAGCCCAGCCCCACCCCTGCCCCAGCGCCCCTTCCCAAATGTGTGCCCCCCCGGGGGTCCCTGGGTCTGCCCTGTGCCCAAGGATATTGGTCCCTGGTACGCTGGCGGCGGGCCAGGCTGTCCTCGTCGCTGATGCCGGCCATGAGGTAGCGAAGGCCCGTGACCCAGGTGCGCGCCTCGTCACCGCTGGGCGAGACCAGGTCCAGGGACTGACGCTGGCCGCCATGGTAGATGCTGAAGCAGCAGTTGGGGTCGAAGCTGCCATCCGGGTAGCGTTGGAAGATCTCTGACTGTCGGCCCTCACTCACCTCCTGGATGGAGTCGATAGAGACTGCGGGAGGGGGGAGGGGGGAGGGGCACCGGTCACAGCCCTCCCCAGGCCGGCACCTCCCACCCCAGCCCAGAGCGCTCACAGCAACAGCTGAGCTCCTGAGTGGGGGGCAAGGCTGATGCCCTCCCAGGATGCCCCTCCCATCTCAGGCTGGGGGGCGGTTGGGGAGGGGACATTTCGAGAGACCCTCGGAGTGGCAGAAGGAAGAAATCCAAACATGCTGCGGTTGGTGAGCCCGCTCCCACTCTGCTCTGACCCTGACGTCCACTCCCCCTACCTTTGCATGTGAAAAAGGCACTCCCCCAAAGAGGGAGAGGGGCCACCCGCCTCCCCCCACTTAGCCACCTGGATGTCTGGCCTCTGCATCTAGCCAAGGCAGCAGAGTGAGGCTACCCTGACAAGCCAATTTCATCCATGACACTCCAGCCAGGTCATCTCCCCATTCTGAGAGGCAATTGCTGGCCGGCACGGCTGCGATCCTGTAATAAGCTCTGGCACCAGTTGAGGGCCGGGGGGCAGGCAGGGGGACAACGGGGTCCCGCTAGGCAGGCACCAGCTCAGGTTCCATCAAGGATTTCATTACCAGCCACAGTACCTGGGCCCCATGGAGCCTTCATTGAGAAGCTGAATGACTGTGAGTACATCAGCTCAGAACGGCGTTTTTAGGGTCCATTCCCATGCACGTGGCAGGGCCCCCTCACAGACGTACAGGCACAGGTAGCCAGCACCGCTCTGGGAGCCAGGCACCCTGGGCTCCACACAGCCGGGCCCTCGCTGCCCTCGCCCCCAGTGCCCGTCTCCCACTGCTCCCTGCAGACTGTGGGCCCTCTGGGGGCTGATGATGGGGTCTCCCATCATCCAGTCGGGGAGGCCTCACTCCTCTGCCCTCTGCCCCCTGCCCAGGAACACAGAGCCCACTTGCCCAGGGGCCTGCCCCGCTCCCTGTGTGTGCACGGTGGGCAGGGTGGTGCTGGGCCTCCAGACTAGGGGGGCTAGCGGCCAGAGAACAGCTGCCCCGTGTTCCTAACCTCCTGGGGTCTCCTCCAAAACCATGGTCAGCTCTAAACACCCAACTTTGTTTCCCCCAACCCTATCCTAGCCTGCAGGTCTCTGCCCCATCACCCCTTCCCCAGAGGGGCCTCCATGAGTCCCCCAACACACCACTCCCCTCTGTTTGCCATCCTGTGTTTTCATGAGGTTGTCCTGCCATCAGGCGTTGGCACCCACCCCTCACTCGAAGGCCAGCTGCTTCTTCTCGGCCGAGTTCCCAAGATGCCCAGTGCAGGAACAGTGCCTGGCCCAGAGTGGGCACTCTGCACTAGGTGCAGGGACTCGTCCTGTCTGTGCAGCCCATTGTGGCCCCACCTTCCCGGGCCCAGAGGGCAGTCCCTGTCCCTCCTCCAGGACGCCCTCCCAGAGGGCTGTGCAGCATGGCTCTCTCCTGGGACCCGGGCCAGCGGTGCCCTTGGTAACTGCTGGGCCGAGGGCTGTCCTGGCACACCTGAGCCTCTCCCATCAGCAAAGCCAGAGGAAGGGTGGTACACACCCACCTCCCGGCCCATGAGGACTCCAGTGTGTCCCTTCCTGACCCCCAGGGCCCCCAGCCCAGCCCCTGCCATGCCCACTCAGAGGTCAACCCTGCCCTTCCACCCGCTGCACAAATGCTCCCAGCTCAGGGCCCGTCCTCTCCAGGCAGCCTGGCAGCCTCACACCCCTATGCCAGCTTCTCGCCCAGGCTGCCTGGGGCATGAGGAGTCCTACCCTCAGTGTGCCCAGTGGGGGTCTCTCTGTGCTTACAGGAGGTCTTATTTCCTGGCTAGACTGAACGTCCTTCTGCCTCTCGGGCCAGCATGTGGCATATGGCTGGGCGCTGATGCCCAGAGGGCTCTGCCAGGTGGCCAGCAGGGCCTAGGCCCCGAAGGGCTAGGGGCCCTGACTCCTCCCTGCCCCGTGTCCAGAGGTCAGCACGGAACTCCAAGGCCAGCTGAGCCCGTGTACCGGGCCCAGAGCCACCTGAGACACCCAGGGCTCGGGTCCTGCTGCCCCACCCGGGCTGCTCTGCGCGGGCCCCGCCCCGCTGGGGCCCCACCCACCCGGGCTGCTCTGCGCGGCCCCGCCCCGCTGGGGCCCCACCCACCCGGGCTGCTCTGCGCGGGCCCCGCCCCGCTGGGGCCCCACTCACTCTTGGCTTTCTCGTTCTTGCGCGAGGGCCGCCAGCGGATGCAGGAACGGTGCTCGTCCAGGAAGTAGAAGCGCACCAGGCCCTTGGAGCCGCCACGGAGCTTCACCATCTGCGTCCCCGCCTGCATGGCGCTCATGCATCTCTCCACTGGACGTGCAGGTGGACAGACGGTCGGCAGGGACAGACAGACAGGGTGCCGGTGAGCACTGCGGCAGCCCCGCCACTCACAGAGCCTGGTCCCCACCCCCATGTGCTCAAGGGGGGTGTGGAGATCACCCGCCCACCCACGGCCACCCACTAGGGGCCGAGCTCAGACCCCCAGGACTCCTGCGGCCCCCAGGGGCTGGCCTGGGTCGCACACCCCACCTGGGACCCTGTTCAAGGGCCAGAGCCCACGAGGAGAAACAGCAATTCTGCCCAGCTGCCCCCTGCCACCCTCCCCGATGGCCTGAGGGCCAAGTGAGGCCCCAGACAAGACTGGCTGCCTGCCCATCCCACTGTCCACCATCTGGACCAGCCCCAGTAACCACCACGACCTGCCTCAAAAGTTATGACACATACGAGGGGACACAGGGTCACGTGGCTGACTCCGCTCTCAGGAGCCTCTGTGCCAGAAACAGGGCGGGTCCTGGGTGGGCATCGGTGGGCGGCCAGCCCTTCATGACATCCAGGCTGGCTCACTGGCCCAGCCACAGGCTGCCCCCGAGTGCCCACACCCCATGGTGGTGGGGGGGGGGCTCCATGAGGCCAAAGCCCCACCCGAGGGTGCAGATCTGGGAATGTGCCACGCCGGATAGAAGCTCCAACCCAAACGCGTCCCCAGCCTGGGGGGGGGCCCACCTGCCCCCCCATGCAGCTTGCATGCCTCCCAGGTCCCAGGGGAGGGGGTGCCGGCCAAGACAGCAGCTCCCTGGGGCTGGGGAGGCTGTAGGCAGCGGGGGGCACTCTAAGGGCCACTGTGCCGGGCACCAGCATGGCAGGGTTAAAGGCACCGCTGCCCCGAAATGCCAGGGACCCCCCTTCCCCGCAGCCAAAGTTTCAGAGCTGCCCAAGCACCCAGCCAGCACGTCCACCAGGGTCATGCCCTCAGCCCCACCTTCCCGCTGCCCGCCTGTGGGTCAGCCTCCAGGCCCCAAGGGGAGGTCACCACAAGGGGGGTGCTGCTGGAGTCACATGAACCCCAGAGAGAGACACAAGGGGGCAGGAGGTTACAGATTTGTGGGGGTGGGGTGGGCACCCCCAGGCCCCTCACACCCTCCAGGCCCCACTGGCCCTGGGGCTGGGTGGCGCTCTGGCCAGGGAGGAACAGGCAATCGGTGCCCTTACCTAGTGGGCCAAGCTGCCACCATGGGGACACAGCCACACTGCCTCCAACCCAGAGGACGGCCTCTGCCAGGCAGGCCACCGTTCCCTTGGTCCGGCTGGAGGTAGATGGCCAGAGGATGGACATCCCCGGACGATGACCAAGGTGGGCTCAGGGAGGCCAGAGAGGGCCAGCAGCGCCCAGCCCACCTCAGCAGCAGGTCAGGCAGTGGTGGGCAGCACAGGGGCTGCACGAGGCCCCCTTCTCTCTTCTTCCTCCTCCTCCTCCTCAGAGCCCCCCAAGGTCCCCACAGGGCTGCCTACAGGCCCTCTGGCATTGGCCCAACTGTCACCTGCTGCCCCAGAGGGCCCCCTGGCCAGGCTATTCACCCACCAGGGCCACAGACAGATCCCCAAAGCAGCAGCATGGCAGGGCCTGTGGGTGGGGGAGCCAAGCGTGTCTGCCCGTCCCGCTCATCCTTGGCCCAATCCCCTGCGCTAATCCAAGCCGGGATACAGCCCAGCTGGCCAAGGGATTTAGGCCAAGGGAGCTCCCAGCTGGGGACCAGGAGGGGACTCCACTGGCAGCAATGTCGCTTGAGGCCCCAGGCCATGAGCCCCCAGGTCCCACTGAGTAATGACAGGCAGGACAGACGGGGGGTGGAGGGGCGCCCTGGGGACCCAAAGAACAGAGCTGTGAGGCCTGGGGTAATGGTCCTCATGGGACCACCCCTGGAGCACACTCTCAGGCCCTGCCGGGGTGGTATCCCCGCTATCTGCCCCATGCCAGACGCCCAAGTCTGCTGCCCACTCTCCACCCCAGCCTGAGCCCCAGGAGAAGCCCGCACTCTCACCTCCACTCTCCACTTACGGGGAGCTCCCGGTGGGCCCGGGGCTGGGACAGGAGCACCAGCTTGTCCCCCAGCGCCCAGCAGCCCTCTGTGGGCTGAGGATTGGAGCCAAGTGGGGCAGGGCTGCCTGCCCAGGCCTGCCTGGCCCAGGGATGACCCGGTGCTCTGGGCTCCTTTGTGCTGTGTGTCCCAGCTCTGGCTGGAGGGTGCAGGTCCCCGAGCTTGGGCCGAGCACTCCCTGCCTCCCTCACCCCGCCCCAGGCCCCTGGCTGTGTGGCCACAGCCCACAAGTACCAGCCACACAGCTTGACCTTTCTGGGTGGAGGCAGCCCCTTGCCCAGGGCACCTACATCACTGCATTGTGTCCTGGGAGGCTGGGCTGGCCTGAGCCACTGCCCTCTTCATGACCAACTTGGCCTGGGGACGAGGGCTGGGCCCAGGGAGGGGCTAACCAAACACAAGGCCCAGCCAAGGCCACACCAGTTAAGGCCCAGACAAGGGCCATGTGGAGGGGCGGCGGGCAAGCGGGAGAGACAGAGAGAAGGCCCACCTGCCTCTCGTGGTCCAGGGGCCACCGGAGCCACAGGCCACCAGGGCATGCCAGCGTGGCAGACAGATGGCATGAGGCTCAAGGGGCAGAACCCACCCCACAGTCACAGTAACTGGCTACAGTGGGGCCTGGGGCCTGGTCCTTCTGCCACAGGGACCACGTGCCCCCAGCCCCCTCCATGCCCCTTGCCCAGGCTCCACAGGGGCAGCACGGGTCTCCATGTCCCCGGCAACCTGTGGCAGTGCTGGGCTTGGAGGTGGGCAGTGCACTCATGTGCTGCCCTCACGAGCCCCATTCTCACTACTATAAACCCCACCACTCCTGGGCTGTGCAGACGGGGCAGGCCCACTTCCCACCCTGGCACAGCGGGGAGGAGCTGGGGCCCAGGCCACAGAGCTGGGGACTGCAGGTGCCCAAGGCTGGGCAGCCTGGTACAGCCACTGGGGTCCAAGGTCGGGGAGGGTGGGAGGCGGAAGCTTGAGGAGATAGCGATGGGCACGCTGGGCTGACGTCATCAACTCAGGGCCTGGGCAGAGCCCAGTTCACAGCCTTTGCCAAAGAGGCTGTGACCGGCCCCTCGCAAAAGGCCTTTCCTCGTGGGATTGTGGGATTGGATTAGAAGCCATTAGCCTCTGGGAGCCAGGCCTGGGCGTCCTCAGGAAGACGGGCTGCTGGAGCCCCTGACAGTGTCTCCGCCTGCACTGGGGAGCTGGAGGAGGGGAACCAGAAACCCTGCGGTCCGGGGGCCGGCCTGGACGAGGCTTAGTGGCCCATGCTCTCAGCGCCTTGGACCAGGGGACACTCCCAGACCGCCTCTCCTGCTGGTCCTGTGGTCATTGCCCCATTCCAGCAGCCGTCCCGCCACGACACTGGACCTCCCTCCTACCCAACAGCCCATGACTCCTCCAACCCAGGTCTGTGCCTTCCTTCCCTGGACCTGGCCCCAGTCTGGGGGTGCTCTCGCCTCCCACCCTCCAAAGCTCCCAAGCCGGCCACTCCTTGCCCTCCTTGGGCTCTCAGCCATTAGCTGATCAGTGGTCACCTGCCATTAGCCAGGGAACCTAGATGCCCCCCTGCGCCTGGGAAGGTTTCAGGGATGGGGCACTTCCCCTCGGCTGCCCCAGGCCGTAATCCTTCACGGACCAGGCAGGCGAAGGTCCAGCTAATCTGGCCTGACTCAGGGCTCTGCCGGCGAACAGGACCTAAGTGAGCCCCACCCCGCCTCTGACACCCCATGCGACAGGTGGATGCAGGATTGTAGGTGCTGTGCAAATTCGGGGTGCTCCAGGGGCACCGGACGCTGTGGGGGAGCATCCAGCCTTGGGGGGTGCTATGTCTGTCGCCCTCACAGTGCCCCCACATCCCAGGTGACTGCCAAGCTGGGCTTGAACCCACAACAGGCCCCAAACCCCAACCCACATGGCTCAGGCCCCAAAGTCCACCCTGCCCAGCTCCCACCCCGACTTCTGTACAGCTGCTGACAGCCCTAGAGCCAAGGATGGGGGGCTCCCCACCTCCCACCCTCCGCCAGCTCCCCAAAGGCCCAGGCAGGCAATGCAAGCCGGGACTCCACATCCACCTGTGGTCACCTGAGCCAGCCCCACCCTCTGCTTCCTCAGGGTCACACTGAGGGCCCAGGGCCCAGGACCTGAGAAGACCCCCTCCCCCTGCCCAGGTGCTGCCTGAGAAGAGACCCCAGCCAGCACCAGGAGAGAGAAGGGCCCAGCCTCTACCCCGCCCCAAAATGGAATCAAGAGGGGCCCCTCAGGCGCCTTTCACACCTCACCACCCCCACCTCACCACCCCCACTGCCTGAGGCCCACCCCGCCCTGAACCTCACCAGCACCCTCACCCTGCCTGCAGGGCGGGGCAGACCAGGCAGCGCCCTGCTTAGCAGCGCTCACAAGGCCCAAGACCCAACCAAGGTCCACACCCTCAGTCAGGCGCCTGCTGCCCAACCTCCAGCCCAGACGCCTGACGACTGCCGCAGCACAGGGCCCTCCGGGCTCAGCTGGGAGGACAGCAGCCGCACTTGGTCTCTGGGCCTCTCACCTGACCCCGCCTGAACGATAGGATACATGGAGGCGAGCTTGCACCCTCAGGCCAGGCAGGCGGGCTGGCAGCCCTGGTCAGGAAGGGGTAGGAGGGCCCGTGGGGGAGAGAGGGACCCCGGCCCCATCCTCCCCACACTCCCCCACACGCAGCAGCTGCCTCCCAGCCCTCCCCAAGCAACCTGCTTCTGGCCCTCGTCCTGTGACCTGAGTGATTTCTTCAGGGCTCCCGGGGCTGCCTCTCGCCTGCCAGACAGGCCTGCACACACTATCTATACGCTGTGTGCCCCCCACACACACACACAAGGCACGGCTGGGTGGGGACCTCCCCAGTCCCGTCCAGCTCTGTTCCTTCAGTCGCTGGGACCAGCCCACAGCAGGTGCTCGAGTGTG